ACGGTTTCTTCTTCTTTCTTCTTCTTCTTCGAACACTGTCGACGCAATCAAGCGGAGCAGTCTGAGAATGATCAGGTAGTTACCTTCCTCTGTGGCAAACTGGTGTGTTTACTCGTGCTTTCAGCGCACGCGTGTCCAAAAGAAGCTGCCATAGGGGGGGGGGCCTCGGCGAACAATCAGGTCTATTGCTTTTGGGTATCAGCACGCGCATATTCTCCAACACCTCTACCCACTGGAGCGAGGAGGAGGAGGCGGAGGCGGAGGAGGAGGAGGAGGCGGAGGAGGAGGAGGGGGAGGAGGAAGGAGAGGAGGAGGAGGAGGAGGAGGAGGAGGAGAGGAGAGAGGAGGAGGAGGAAGGAGGACGACGAGGAGGAGGAGGAGGAGGAGGAGGAGGAGGAGGAGGAGGAAGAGGGGGAGGAGGAGCGGTGTCAGGCAGCCTCGCCCCTCTGGAGCCTGAAAGGGCCTCTTGGGGGTTTTCTTGGGGCGCTCTTGGGGCGCTCTTGGGGGTAGTTTTGGGCCTCGCCGCCGCCCCTCGTGGGGCTCGCTTGGGCGATGCCCCTGGGCACCTGGAGGTCTCGCTTGGGGGCCCTAGGACGCGGCATTGCGAGAAGGCACACGCCCCCGAGTTCCCGTTGGTTTGGGGTGGGGGTGGACCTCTCGGGGCGCGTCGTTCGGAGGCACCGTGGTTACTTGGAGCCGTATCGGGGCGGTCTTGCGGCCTCCGTCGTCTTGAAAGACATCGAGACAGTTTGAGCCGCCATCTTGGCGGCCGTCTCGAGCTGCCTGGAGCCATCTTCGAGCCATCTTGGGGCCTGCCAGCGATACCCCCCGAGTTGTCAACACCCGCCAAGCACCTCAGCGACTTCAATGATTCAGGGTTTGAGCGGAGGAGGAGGAGGAGGAGGAGGAGGAGGAGGAGGAGGAGGAGGAAGAGGAGGGGGAGGAGGAGGAGGAGGGAGGAGGGAATCAGGAGGATGTAGGAGGAGTAGGAGTAGAGAGTAGGAGTAGTAGGAGGAGGAGGAGGAGGAGGAGGAGGAGGAGGAGGAGGAACACCTGTCAAGCACCTCAGTGACTTCACGGATTCAGGGTTTGAGCGGAGTGGGCGGCGGCGATCAGCGCCGCCCTTCTCGAGCTCAGCACGTTGCCGCTCGGGGCCCTCTCGGGGCGCTCTCTTGGGCCCATCTTGGGCTCCTCGTAAGGCTCTTTGATGGGCCGGTTGTCCACCACCACCACCACCACCACCACCACCATAGGTTGGAGGGGGGAAGGAGGAGGAAGAGGAGGAGGAGGAGGAGGAGGAGGAGGAGGACGAGGAGCAGGAAGAGGGGGACGGAGAGGAGGAGGAGGAAAAGGAGGAGGAGGAGGAGGACCCCCTCCCCCTCCAACTTATGGTGGTGGTGGTGGTGGTGTCGGAAAACAGGCCCATCACTCTTGAGCCATCCTGGAGCCTTCTGCAAGGCTCGGGGGCCCAGTGGAAATGGCAAGGCACGCGTGCACAACTCCTTTGGACTCCAGAGGTTTGGCCTCTTGCGGGCATCCTTGCGAGGCTCCGAGGTCGTTCAGAGTCTTTTGGGGGCCTCTTGGACGTAGATTGGAGGCATATTGGGCAATGCTGAGCTGCCTTGTGCCATCGTGCAGGTCATCTTGGACTTTCCTCGTCCCTCTTGGAGCCACTTTGGGCCATCTTGGACGCCTTGGCCGCTCGGGCCCCTCGCCCGTCCAGGCCGGGGGGATGAGGTAGGGGGAGGGGTCGAGATACCTCCTGCTCACAAGGTGTAAGTCGTCGCGCTCACTCCCACCCGCCCCCCTGACGCACAAACAGCCCCCGAGCATCCATGTTGAAAACCAATGCCGAATGGTCGCGGGCCCCCAGCGCTTGCTCCAGATTTGGAAGCAATGTGCACTTCCTTTTGTAAGTTGGCAGGGATGGTCGGCCTGCGCGCAGCAAGCAACATGAGGGCCCCACCGCCGTCTCTGTCACAAAACCAATGCAGCCAATGCAGCGTGGGTTCTGGGTTCGCCCACTGGTAGGTTGGGGAGGGAGTGTATCCTAATAGTAGTAAGGAGCAGTGATCAACCCATCCCCGAAGGGGGTAGAGGGGGGTTGGAAGAGGAAGCGTGCTAGACCATCTCCGCCCAGAGTGCTGGTGGGATTATTCCTATTAGGCTGGGTTCTCGGAACACCACGTGGAGGACACTTCGAGCCAGGAGATGTGGATTTGTGACACTCAGTCAGTGGTGGCACTGATTGCATCCTGTTTCACTCGGCGGTGGACAAACCTCCCTTTAGTAAACCTCCCTTTAGTGAAACGGCCTGGGACCGAAACCGACGGACCTGGACCCGCAAAAATGACAGCCGCGACGCCCTCTCGCGAACCGAAAACGGCCAATTCGCTAATCGACGTGTAAGGGTAGGAGGTCTGTCCACCCCCGATTCACTCTGATGGCAGGCCGGGCTTGCACTGCGGGCGTCGGCTGGTACAGCCAGTGTCTTCGGTGCGCAGCTGGCGCGGCTGCTATTGCTCCGTGCTTGGGGGCTGGGGAGTGAACATGTGATGCTCGAAGCCCACCCAGAGGAAGAAGGATGAGGACGAGGCAGGAGGAGGGTGTGAAGGAGGGAGGGCGGGAGGGAGGAGAAGGAGGATGATGAGGAGGAGGAGGAGGAGGATCAGGAGGAGAAGAAGGAGGACGAGGAGGACGAGGAGGAGTTCTGTCCGGTCTGCCGCACCCTCCTCCCCCTCGCCCTCCTCGTCTCCGCCGCCGCCGCTCTTCGCCCTCGCCCAGCTCCTCCCCCGAAGCCGTCAGCCCTCATGGCCCTCCCCGCTGCTCCCGCGCCACCCGCTCGGGCGCTGCGAGAGGCGTCCCCGGCAGAGGGTGCCCATCGGACGGGGCCAGGACGAGGGCTCCTCCTCCTCCTCCTCCTCCTCCTCCTCCTCCTCCTCCATTCCTCCTCCTCCATCCTCCTCCTCCTCCTCCTCCTCCTCCTCCTCCTCCTCCTTCCTCCTCCTCCTCCTCCTCCTCCTCCTCCTCCTCCTCCTCCTCCTCCTCCTCCTCCTCCCTTCCTGTTATTCATAAATAAGTTCACCCTGTCGCACCCGTAGGCCGGTTTTTAGGGCGGGCCGGGCGTTTCGCCTGAGATTTCCGCACCACTTGCGATCCTGAAGCTGAAAAGTGACAACCGTCTCACAGATGGAAGGCGGGTGGTTTTCAACATGTGGCTTTCGGCGCACACTCTTTCATTAAAAGTTGCATGAGCTTCACGGATTGAGGGCGGGTGGTTTTCAACATGTGGTTCTCGCCTTAGCTCCGCGCGCATGAGTTGTAACATGTTGCAAGATCGTCACGGATTGAGGGCGGTTCCTTTTCAACCTGTTGTTTTCTCCTTAGCGCCGCGCACATTCGTTTTACACACTTGCAAGAGCTTTGCATATTGAGGGCGGGTGGTTTTCAGAATGTGACGCTCGCCTTCGCGCCGCGCACATTCGTTTAAACATGTTGGAAGAGCTTCACGGATTGAGGGCGTTCCTTTTCAAAATGTGGCTCTCGCCTTCGCGCCGCGCACATTATGTTTCAAAGTTTGCCAGGGTTTCACGGATTCCCATCATCATCGTACCAGACATGGTGTTTTGGAAGGATTGAGGATCACCTGGGCGAAAAAGTTACGTTGATTCGCGGTGCTGCAGTCCCCCATAATGGCGTTCTGGCACGATTCCAGATCGTCAAGACGCAGCAGTCAGGTTGATCCGTGGCGTAGAAATCCCGAGAACAGTGTCTTGGCATGTTTCGAGGTCTTCAAGCGGCTGTCTTCTAACGAGGCAGTTCCCTCAATGGAAGTGAACGATTGTAGGGGCCTCTGAAGAGGGAGCTTGGACGGAGGGTTCGTTCCAACATCGTTGATGACTCTTGAGTTTACACTGGTCCTCCTCCTCTTCCTCCTCCTCTTCCTCCTCCTCCTCCTCCCCCTCTTCCTCCTCCTCCTCCTCCTGCTGCTCCTCCAACTCTTGTTGGCAGCGTCGCTCAATGCAGCTCGCGCCATGCTCTTCCGCTAGTCCACCGCCCGTCGGGAGTCTCGCGCCCTCTGCTCCTCCTCCTTCTCCTCCTCTTCCTCCTCCTCCTCGTCCTCGTCCTCCTACTCCTCCTCCTCCTCCTCCTCCTCGTCCTACTCCTCCTCCTCCCTCCTCCTCCTCCTCCTCCTCCTTCCTCCTCCTCCTCCTCCTCCTCCTCCTCCTCCCCCGCCCCTCCTCCGCCTCCTCGTTTTCCTCGTCCTCCTCCTCCTCTTCCTCCTCCTCCTCGTCCTCCTCCTCCTCTTCCTCGTCCTCCTCCTCCTCCTCCTCCTCCTCCTTGCCACGATCCATGCAGATGTATACTTGGCGCCCTCCTGCGATTCTCGGACGGGGCTGTACAGGAAAAGGATAAGTCTGTCCCAGAGCGTTCAGGAACGCTCCTCAGAGCGTTCCGGAGCGTTCCGAAGCGCCATGGTGCGGGCTCGCTAGCTGGCTTGAACCAAACCGACATGAGCCGAGCTGGCACTAGGAGGAGGAGGAGGAGGAGGAGGAGGAGGAGGAGGAGTAGGAGGAGGAGGAGGAGGAGGAGGAGGAGGAGGAGGAGGGAGGAGGATTGAGGAGGATTGAGGAGGAGGAGGAGGAGGAGGAGGAGGAGGAGGAGGTTGAGGGAGGAGGAGGAGGAGGAGGAGAGGAGGAGGAGGAGGAGGAGGAGGAAGAGGAGGAGCAAGAGGAGGAGCCCTCGTCTTAGCCTCCTGGAACGCTCTGACAAGGCCGCGACGCGCCCGAGACATCCTCCAGAGCCGCCATGTATTGCCCAGAGACTCCCGACGTGTTCCCACCCGAATGTTTATCCTCGTCCTGGCTTCGTCTTGGCCCAGGGGATTTCTTCCAAGGAGTCCCCCGCGGCTTCCGGAGCACCCCGCACGAGGCCAGAGAGGGCCCTGGGCCTCCTGGGCTCCCAGAGTGGTGGGAGGAGCCGGGGACGCCAGGGGCCAGGACCACCTCTGGCAGCACTCGCTCCCCAGACCTCCGAGGCTCCAACGTTTTCGAGGCGAGGACCCCCCGACGCCTGCACCACTCCCCCCGGATGCGGCTCCTGGGAGGTCAAGTTTTGATTCCGCCCCGACCCGAAATCCAGCTTCGTCCGGCCTGTCCGTGCGTATTTCCGGCTTATAATCCCGCTGGCTCCAGCTCAACCCCGCTTAGTCCGAGGCCTAGTCTGGCGTAACAGCCCCGCAATGAGGCTCAATCCTCCTTAGCCCTTCCGACGAAGACCTCCCAGTAGTTGCCTCCTAAATTTCCCCAGGGCCGGTGTTTCGTCCTGAGTCGTCTTTCTGACGGCCCGGGGGCCCGGCGATGGCCAACAACAACAACAACAACAGCAGCAGCAGCAGCAGCAACAACAACAACAACAACAACAACAACAACACCAACAACAACAACAACAGCAGCAGCAGCAGCAGCAACAACAACACCACCACCAACAACAACAACAGCAACAACAACAACAGCAGCAGCAACAACAACAACAAAAGCGGCCGCTCCAAACTGTGCGGTGACCACATCGTGTGGTGAGTCGGTGGGGATTCGGGGTCACCGCACGGTTTTGGGACGCGAGTCCCTCCCCCAGGATGTCTCGGGCTGCAGGGGCCTCCAGGGTCCCCATACCGTGCGGTGACGGACCGTGCGGGGAGGCCTCTGGGGGTTTCCGAGGCCACCGCACGGTCTGTCACCACACGATCCGGGGATCCCCACATGTTCGGAGCCTCGGACCTCTGGGTTCGGGAGAAGAGAACTATGCACATGCACCGATCCTGGCAAGGCCCATCCTTGACCCAGGATCGGTGCATATGCCTTCCTGGCCAAGGTAGGAGGGCGTATGCACCGATCCTGGGCTCAGGATGGGCCTGGCCAGAATCGGTGTATGTGCATAGTTTTTTTTCCTCTATGGGTCCGTATGGTGCCCGTGCTCTTCGCGTTGCCCATGGGCGCGCCCGCGCTGGGAACCCGCTGACCGCTGCCGAGGGTGACCCGGCGGCGGCGGCGCGGCCGCGGGTGAGATGCTGTCGTGGCGGCACGCCAGGGGCAGCCGGAGCCCCACGGAGAGCATCGAGCTCCCCGCACCAGCGGCGCAGGTCGGCGGCGAAGTCCGGACCCCATCCTCGCCGAGCAGTGGCTCACTCCTCCTCCTCCTCCTCCTCCTCCTCCTCCTCCCTCCTCCTCCTCCTCCTCCTCCTCATCCTCCTCCTTCCCTCACCTCCTCCTCCTCCTCCTCCTCCTCCTCCCCTTTCTCCTCCTCCTCCTCCTCCTCGGGGCGGCAGGGGTATGGTTCGTCATTCGTCGAGCACGCGGCGAATTCCAAGCCCCGCCCCGGCCTCCCAGCGACTCCGGAGAATCGATGGTCTGTGGGGGTAGGGTTCGGATGTCGTCACCCAGCAGGTGGAAGAGCGAAGGTCGGCGGCACGCAAGAGCGACTCTGGGGCAAAGTCCGTCGGGCATCGACAAGACGCTTGGAGCCGTCTGGGGGTCTGAGGTGGCCCAGCACTGGTTCTGGCAGCAGGAGGGAGAAGGCGAGGTTCGAGGTTCTAGGTTCGAGAAGGTGTTTTACAGTTTTCGGCCTCTGGGGGCCGTTCTTAAAAGCCCTGGGAATGTCAAAAATGGATCCAGCGTGAAAAACCACACCAGATGGACCCAGGAGAGGTCTGGGATCTGGGGACCGATTTTGAATAGATTTGGCCAACTCCCCCCTCCTGACTGATTCTCTGGGGTCCCAACCAGTTTAGACCCCCCTGCCGCCTCCAACAAAACGCCCCCCGAGACAAATCGTCTATGGAAATCTGCACCGGTTCACTCGACATTGGCAGTCGAGTGTTCTGGCGCAGTCCCCAGTCGGCTTTGCCAATCGACATGCGCTTCGCCGGATAGTTATTGTTGGTGGGCGTCGGTTAGCTGCCCAGCTGGGGTGCAATCGGAGAGCGGCGCCGTGAGCACGTGGAGTGCCCATGGCAGCGTTCACGAAAGGGCGTTTTGCTGAAGGGGAATCTCGGTGCGCTTTCGAATTCGGGGGGCAGGCTCCTGAAGTGTGTCGGCAGGTTTTTCCAGATTGCATTTAACTGGGAGCCAGAGAACCGCGTCCGGCGGCGTGGGGGGCAGTGCAAACGCTGGCTGGAATGCACCGTCGAGTACCAGAACTGAGGGCGCTGAGGCGCCACCGCGCCACCCGTCTCGGGACGGCCTCCGGGCCGATGGAGCGCGTCGTTCGTTCGTTCGTTCCAGGTTTCGGCAGGTTTTTCCTCCTCCTCCTCTTCCTCCTGAGGTGGTCTCCATCAGCTGCGCCTCGTCGAGAGCCTTCAAGGGGTGCCCGCACCGTAGCGGGCGGCCGCCGGAGGCCCGAGGCATGGCTCGGAAGACAGGGAGCGGGAGGGCGGAGTGCCCGCACGGCCCTCGTGGGCTGCTGTGGCGCGCTCCGCGCTCCGGGCGCACGCGAGACGCTGCTCAGAGCGAGAAACGCAGAAACGCGGGGCGATGCATCGACCCTGGATCGCCCATTGATCGCCGATGGCGGCCCGGTAGCCCAACCCGCCCAGGAGCCTGTGGGTTCGCAATCGGGGGCCTACCGCCGATCTGCACGCGATGTGTCGCCGATGCCAGGTCGATGTTCCCCCCCCCCCCGCCCCCAGCGGGTCCCCCGCCCCCTACCGTTCCTCCTCAACGTAAGAGTGGCCATTCGCCCGAGTGGCCTTCGGCGCGCGGCATTCGGGAAAGGCTGGCAGGAGGAGGAGAAGGAGGAAGAGGAGGAGGAGGAGGAGGAGGACGAGGAGGAGGAGGAGGAGGAGGAGCAGGAGGAGGAGCAGGAGGAGCAGGAGGAGCAGGAGGACGAGGACGAGGACGAGGACGAGGACGAGGACGAGGACAGGGACAGGGAAGATGAGGAGGACGAGGAGGAGGAGGAGGAGGAGGTGGATGAGGAGGAGGCGGAGGAGGAGGAGTGGGCGGCGGGTCCAACCGAGCACACGCACGCGGGCCGCCGCCGTCGCGTCGCAGGCAGGCGATCGGCTAGCCGCGCGCCAAGGGCCACCTTTGCCCAGGGTCACTGGCTGCGTGTAGCCGAGAAGGAAGGAGAAGGCGATGCCAGTGGGAGCGACGGTGGTGCTGCTCGTCGCTGCCGGCTGTGTGTCGGCCGTGACGGTGTTCGTCGCCAGCGTGCACGGGTCGCTGCGCACGATGCAGTCGTCTCTCGACCAGGAGGCCTCTGAGCTGAGGAAGCTGCGGACGTCGCAGCGCGACACGGGCGAGGAGCTTCACAGGCTTCGGCAGGAGGTCCTCAACGCCTCCGCGGCTGGAGCCCGCCATGACGAGGCCTTGGGCCGCGGCGAGGAGTTGGCACGGCGCTCTTCGGACAGCCTGCGGGACGCCACGGTGAGGTTGGCGGAGTTGCGTGTCACGATGGAGTCGTTCGGCCCGCCAATAGACGTGCTCTCCCAGAAGCAGGAGGACTCGAGGAGTGCACAGGAGGTGCTGGAGGCGAACGTGAAAGAGGTGCAGGGCGCTCTCGATGACGTGCGGAGCACGGTCTCCCGAGAGCGCGCCTGGCACGACCAGATCGAGGCCTGGCGGAGCCAGGAGCAGAACTTCGAGCTGGAGACGCGCGAGGCCCTGCAGGAGCTCCAGGGGGCGCAGCCTGCCAGGCTGGGCGGCGAGCTTGGCGTCTCTCTGGCGGCTGCCAGTGAGGACCAGATAACGCCCCGCAGCAGCGCCAAGCGGGTGGCCACTCCTGCGCAGAGCCTGGTGATCGGGCGCTGGTGACCCCGGCCCAAGATGACTCCAGCTTCTCCAGTAAGGCCAAGACGGCCTCCAGAGCAACCCTCACGAGAACCAGAGGGCCCCAGGCTATCCGTGGCATTGTAAAAGCGTACTCAGGTCGATGTGCCGCCGTGTGGGAGTAGAAATCTGCTGTCCAGCTCGTTTTTTTCAGCGTTGCGCGTCCCAGCATGCCCGATCTGCCTCTGGCTGCAGTGTGCACGAGGCCTCGGCACTGCACCGTGAAGGGCCAGTTGGAACGTTGATCATCGGCTGCCCGCATCTCCCTCCCTTTTTCCCCAAACGCACAAAAACAGAAGGCCCCAGGCGTTCCACAGCGGCGCGAGAAGCTGGGGGCACCGTGGGCCAGGACCACCTCTGGCAGCCCCCGAGGTGACGCCAAGGCCCGACGCGGCCACGCGCCACACCACGGAGGCCGCGAAGGTGGCGCAGCTGGCGGCGCCTGTCAAGGGCCCCGCGATGCCTGGGCCCACGACGGTGCCCTCTAGAGACGGCCTCGAGGCGCCGGCGGCGCCTGCGCAGAGCCTGGTGACGCCGCAGCGCGACGCGGCCACGCGCCACACCACAGAGGCCGCGAAGGTGGCGCAGCTGGCGGCGCCTGTCAAGGGCCCCGCGATGCCTGGGCCCACGACGGTGCCCTCTAGAGACGGCTTCGAGGCGCCGGCGGCGCCTGCACAGAGCCTGGTGACGCCGCAGCGCGACGCGGCCACGCGCCACACCACGGAGGCCGCGAAGGTTCGGATGGACCCCGGTGAAGGGGAACCTGTTAGTGATTCGAACCCGAAGCCCCAACGGATAGTCAGAATCATTCGCCCCAATCTGCCGTAGCTGGTGTTTTTTCGGGTGACGGCAGTTCCAGTTAGTGGAGAGGTGAGGGGGTGGGGGGGCGCCCCCTGGTACACATCACTAAACCAGGTCCCACCAAACCCAGTCTAGCCAACGCCCGAAAGGTGGCGCAGCTGGCGGCGTCGGGCGTGCCTGGGCCCACGACGGTGCTTTCCAGAGACGGCCCCGAGGCGCCGGAGGCGACCCACGCTGGCCTCCAGATCTCCTGGTACCGGGAGTGCGGTTGTACTGGCATGGAGGCCGGCCTGTCCTCCTCCATGAAGGACAGGGGGCCCTTAGGGAACGGTGGTCCTGAAGATTTAGGCGCTTTCAGCCGGCTGGAGCCCAGGCCCTGGGTGTCTCCGGACCTGTCCAGACAAGTTGTTCGAGGAGGAGGAGGAAGAGGAGGAGGAGGAGGAGGAGGTACAGTGCAAATTCCAGAGGCCCCTGCAGGGGTTCATTTCCACTGAGGAAACTGCTTCGTTGGGAGACAACCGTGTGAAGACCCTGAAGCATGCCAAAGCACAATTCTCGGGACTCCAACGCCACGGATCAACCTGACTGACGATCCTGAATCGTGCCAAAGCACCATCCCTGGGACTTCAACACCGCGAATCAAAGTAACTGTTGCACCCTCACACTCCTGAATCCATCCAGCACACCACTTCTGCTACGTTGACCATGGGAATTCGTGGGACTTGTTGCAATGTGTTAAACGAATGTGCGCGGCGCTAAGGTGAGAGCCACGTTTTAGAAACGAGCCGCCTTCAATCCGTGAAGCTCTTGCACTTATTGAAGACGAATGTGCGCGGCGCTAGGCCGAGAACCACATTTTGAAAACAGCCCGCCTTCTTTTAAGACTAATGTGCGCGGCGCTCAGGCAAGCGCCACATTTTGAAAACGACCCGCCCTCAATCCGTGAAGCTCTTGCAAATTCTAGAACGAATTGTGGGCGGCGCGAAGGCGAGAGCCATATGTTGAACACCACCCGCCCTCCGTTTGTGAGACGGTCGCCAAAATCTAAGCTTCAGGGTCATACAACATGAGGAAGTCTCAGGCGAAACGTCCGGCCCGCTCTTTCGACTGGCACCACAGGGAGGAGTTGTTTATGTTGTGTGTTGTGTGTTGTGTGTGGTGTGCTTCTTTTTGGCGGGTAATGTCGGCAAGTAGTTTTTGGACGTCGATCAGTTGTGCCGCCCGGGTGCCTTCGAGCGACGCACTAAGCGGGGTCGTCCGCGCCGACATTGGCGCGCAAGCTGCCCGCATGAGTTCGCGCTGAAGCGCCCTCGCCTCCAGTGCAGCGTGCCGCGCCCGCGGCCCGCGTAGGCCGCGGCGTAAGGCCGCCGTGCCGCCTCGCGTAGGGCCCGTTTTGAAGCGTCGATCACTTGGAGTGCGGTGCCGCGGGCACCTGGGGAGGGCCTCTGGCAGCTCTCACGGCAGAGCGTCTTGCTGATTGGGGTTGGGTCGCTCTTCGAGTCGGGGGCGTCGGGGAGGGGGCGGGGCAAGAAGAGCTTGGTCAGCGGACCCAGCCTGAGGCTGACATTTCTCTGCCACGCGCTGTCCAGAGCGATTTCCGTTTGACCCCGCCTGTGGCGTGGGCCATACCCCACCCTCACGCCCTCCCGAAGGAGGGTGCAGGACCCGTTTCCCTGAGGACCCCCCTCTCTCGTGCCAACTTGTTTTGTCGAAGGGCTTTTCCAAACGCCACCCTGTGGTCGCGTCCTCGTTCTCACGAGGGTGCTCGCCGCTCGCCCTCGCTCCTCGCCCCCACCTCGTTCCCGTGTAAGTGAGATGTGTTGTTCCAACCGTACTTTTGGTTGGGTCATCGCCTTGAATACAGCCTTTACTGTTCATCTCCCTCTTATGATCCAACGCCTCACGCCTCCTCCTCCTCCTCCCCCTCCTCCTCCTCCTCCTCCTCTGTCCTTCCTTGCTCCTCCCTCTTCGTTTTCCGTTTCCCCCCCCCTCTCTCGCCCTCCTTCGTTTTGTCTCGTCTCTCGCTCACCCGGGCGCGGGCAGACGTACAACTGTCCGTCTCTTCCCGCGCTCCCTGGCGGTTCCAGCGGATTGGCGTCCTACTAGCATCACAACACGCCGGCCCCCGGTGCTGCCGAGTGTGCAGCCGTCGACTCTTCCCCGCGCCCTTGGGGGGGGGTCCAGCGGAGCGGCGTCCCAAAGAAAATTTAAGCCAGAACCCGCCTCCCTGGATGCTGCCAGGGGTGCAGCGGTCGCCACGTTCCCGCGCCCGCGTGAGGTCCAACGGAGTGGCGTCCAACACGGCTCCACTTCACGGAGTTCCCAAACGTTCTGCATGGGTTGGGTACCTCCTTGGATGCAGCAGGTTCGCACTGCGGTCTTACAGAGCGGACCTCGGCGTGGGCGTTCAATGAAGGCCAGCGATTGCCAGGAAGCGATCGATATCGAACGAGCTGCGCTATCGGAAGGCCGCGATCATTCAAGTTTGAACGGTCCACGCGGTGTCAGAAACAAACGTTGCCGTCATCGCGACGTGAATTTGCCATAAGTGTACAGGCGGACTTACGGGTGTATTAGTGTCAGCACGTGCCAGCGTAAATGCCGGTCGTTGCGCTAGGCATCCACGTGCACGCATGCTGTGATGCGCACCCGCCCGTGCTTACTTGTCTGCTTATTTGTCTGCTGCAGTGCCTGCGTGTTCGTCTTCTTTTTTGGCTCGCCTTCTTCTGGATCCGCTCTGTTTTGTTGCCAGCGATGTTTGAAGAGCTTTTTGCATGGAGGTCGAGGCGGTCACCCTCCTCGAGGCGCTGGTGCGGTCTCTGGGCTCCCAGCGGGTGCGCACGAACGGCTGCAAGAACACGTGCACGTGGCCAGACTCGACTCGGCAGGTGCTTAGATCAGATCGCGAGGGGGGCCAGGAGGAGGAGGAGAGTACGCCAAATATGCATCAGCCATGTTGTAATACATCCTCCTCCTCCTCCTCATCCTACTCCTCCTCCTCCCCCTCCTCCTCCTCCTCCTCCTCCTCCTCCTCCTCCTCCCCCTCCTCCCGCCCAAAGTCCCCTCGCACGTTTCCACAAGCTGTCCCTGTCACTCGAGAAGAAGCGCCCCCCACTGAAAGACCAGCACCACACGGGCCTGCAGTTCTGGCGAGGGCCCAATTTCGAAATGAGGTGTCCTTGCATCCTTCTTGTGCGTAATCATGAAGAGGAGGAGGAGGAGGAGGAGGAGGAGGAGGAGGAGGAGGAGGAGGAGGAAGAGGAGCAGACTATGGCCAGGCAGTTCAACGAGGTGTCCTGCGAACCCCCCCCTTCGAGCAATGACCGCCCCCCCGGCCGTGCAAATGTTGCACCAGCTTATGTTGTGGCCCTGATCTGTTGGTGGGAGTCTCCAAAACAAGCTAAAGCAAGCTGAACGGTTGCGCGGGACGCTAAGGCGATCGCCCCATTTCGAAGAAGACTTGTGCTCCACGCTTTGACACCGCCACTGCTTAAGACGAGCGTGCGCGCTGCTAAGTCGAGAGCTGCACTTTGAAAAGGGACCGCCATTCACCCCTGAAGCTGCTGCAAACTCTTCAGACGAATGTGCGCGGCATTACGGCTAGAGCCTCCATCCTTGAAGCGGGTGTTCATTTGAGACGAATGTGCGCGACGCAAAGGCGATAGCCACACGTTGAAAATGACAAGCCGTCCATCATTGAAGCCGCTGCAAGCTTTTAAGACGAATGTTCGCGGCGCTCAGGATGTAGTTGCAGTTTTTAAGCGATATTCGCCCATCTTTGAATCGGCCGTATGTTTTTAAGACGATTGTGTGCGGCGCTACGGCGAGAGCGACATGGTGATGGCGTTGCACATTTCGAGCTTCATGCTCATACGTGCCAGGCTGCCTGCGGCAAGTCCTGCCACCGTGCCAGTCCATTATCCTGGGTGGCGATTGTTGGAGATGGCACGAGAGGCCGTCACGTGTGACACCGTGCGCCTCCAGGCTTGGGAGGGTCGAAATGACGATGGTGATGTTGCTGCTGCTGCTGATGATGATGATGATGATAACGATGGTGATGCTGCTGATGATGATGATGGTCGTGAGGATGATGATGCTGATGATGATGATGATGATGATGATGATGATGATGATGAGGGCGATGATGATGATGACGACGACGACGTCGACGACGTTGACGACGACGGCGACGACGGCGACGGCGACGATGGCGAGGATGATGATGAGGAGGAAGAGGATGATCATGAGGAGGATGACGATGAGGATGAGGATGTTGCTGAGGATGAGGAGTAGGATGATGGCGGTGATGACGATGATGAAGATTTTGCTGTTGTTGACCATGATGATGACAAATATGATTATGGTGATGATGATGACGTTGGTAATGGTGATGATGATGCTGACGATGACGATGATGACGATTATGATTGTGATGATGATGGCGACGATGCTGATGATGGTGATGCTGATTATGCTGATGGTGCTGGTACTGCGGCTGATGATGGTGACGAGTATGATGTTGATGTTGATGATGATGACGCTGAGGATGAGGATGCATACGATGATGATGATTCTGCTTGTGATGGTGACGGCGGCGATGGTGATGATGAGTAGGATGATGATGGTCGTGATGATGAGGATGTTGAGGATGCCGTTGATGGTGATACTGGTGATTATGATGATGTTAATGCTGGTGATGATGACGATAATTGATGATGCTGATGATTGTGATGATGATGTTGATGAGTTGATGATGTGATGATGATGCTGATTGTGATGATGATGCTGATTGGGATGATGATGATGATGATGATGATGATGATGATGATGATGATGATGATGATGATTATGATGATGATGATGATGATGATGATGACGGTGAATGTGGCGGTGACGGTGACGAGACGGAGGAGGAGTAGAAGGAGGAGTAGAAGGAGGAGGATGCATACCGTCACAGGTGGAACAGAGTCTTCATTATTTGGGGAGCTCTCATGGAACCCATTTGGGCCGCCGTGTGGCTGCCTTGGGGGTCCATTGGGCTCTCTTGAGCCGCTTTGGTGCTCTCGTAAGCCGTCTTGTGGCTCTCCCGGGCAGTCTTGGGGGCCCTCGTGACCGTATGGTGGGTGCCTGGCGGCAGTCGCGGGGCAGTCTTGGCCCCGCCCTGGGCAGCCGAAGGGCACGCCAAGGTCGTCTTGCCCGGGTCTCACGGGAGGCCGTCTTGGGGCCGTCTTGGGGCCGTCTTGAATGCTTCGTGGGCATTCGCGGGGGTTCTCTTGGACCATGTCTGGGCCCTCCTGGGGGCCTCTTGGGCAGTCTTCGGGTCATCGTGGAGGCTCCTCGGGTCGTCTTGAGCTGACGGAAGCCCAGCAAGGCGAGAGTGCTACCAGCCCTGCGCACCCCACAGGGAGGTCAAAGAGTTTGGCGTCTTCGGGCCCTGTTGAAGGTCCTCTCGGGGCCCAGGTGGGCCCCCTTCGAGGCATCCTGGGCCCCCTCCTGCGGTCAGATTCGGCCGCCGTGGGGCCATCTTGGCCCGTCTTCGAGGCATCGTGGGCCATTTTGCCCACGATGCCTCGAAGCTCCACGGCGCCCCGAGCTTGCAAAACAGCCCCTTCGAGGCATCTTGGGTGCCTCGGTTGCCTGCCTGGGCTGTTTTGCAAGCCCGGGGGCGCGGACGCACCGTGTTTTGTGCAAGGGCTCGCTGCCCCGGGAGCGCGGGGCCAGTGTTTTTTTTTGTGTCGGGTTGTGCGAGGGGTCGTGGCCTCGGGGGCAGTTGGCCTCCTCCTCCTCCTCTTCCTCCTCCTCCTCCTCCTCCTCCTCCTCCTCCTCCCCTCCTCCCTCCTCCTCCTCCTCCTCTCCTCTCCTCTCCTCCTCTCCTCCTCCCCCAGATTTCGTAATAAAGGGAGGGGGGTCTCATTTCGGGGGGGGTCTCTTCCAGGCTATCTTGGAGGGCCTGGGGGGGGTCTGGGGACGATGTTTTGGAGGGTTCTCCCACGGGGGGGGTTTGAAATGGCCTGTCTTGGAGGGTCCAGACCCCCTCCCTTTTATTACGAAATCTGGAGTATGCATGCGTCTCTCTGCAAGTAGAGGGGGGGATCCTGATTGGAGTGCAAGAACCCTGCAGAGCAGCAGCTGGCATCCCATCACGCCCGCAGTGCACAGCTACGGTGGATAAGGGGAGTTGTTGCAAAGGACGATGACGGTGAGGCAAATGAGTATGATGATGATGCTGATGATGCGTATGAGCATGATGCGGATGGTGATGATGATGCTTATGATGATGATGATGATGATGATGATGATGATGATGATGATGATGGTGATGATGATGGTGGTGATGGTGATGGTGATGGTGATGATGATGATGATGATGATGATCATGATGATGCTGATTGTGATGATGATGCTGGTGATGATGATGTTGGTGATGGAGATGATGATGATGATGATGGTGGTGGAGATGATGATGATGGTGGTGGTGATGATGATAGTACTGATGCTGATGGTGGTAATGATGGTGCCGATGATGATACTCATGCTACTTCTCCTGCTGCTGATGATGCTGCTGATGGTGTTGTTTCTGATGATGTTGGTGCTGATGAGGATGGTGGATGTGATGGTGGTGTTGGTGGTGTAATGGATGGGTTGACGACGATGATGCTGAAGCTGCTGATGATGATGGTGATGCTGATTTTGCTGATGATGATGCTGGTGGTGATGAGGATGGTACTGATGATGGTGAGGATGGTTATGATGTTGATGATGCTGATGATGATAGCGGTGGTGATGCTCATGTTAATGACGATGATGACGATGATGTTGCTGATGGTGGTGGTGATGATGACACGTATGATGCTGTTGATGGTGATGCATATTAGGATGATTATGTTGATGAAGAAGATGATGATGATGCTGCTGATCCTGATGATGGTGATGGTGATGGTGATGCTGGGGGAAGGGTTTGCTGGCAAGGAAGCTCAGCCGTGGGCCTCAAACAGCGAGACAGTGTACTGCGGATGTGTAAGCTGTGTAGTGTGCTCAATGGGTGTGAACTACTTTGCAGAACTTGAAGTCGTCGATACCACTGCTTGCACAATCATCCCACCCTCTCACCCACAACTTGCTTGGCAACCAAAGCCCATGCGTCCGCGATTGCGATGGCTACTTGGCAGTGGCTGGCGCATCCCTGCGGCCGCGCGAGCGCGCGCAAGCTCGCGCGCAGAACGACCAGCTGGGTTGGCACAGCCGACGCGGCCGCGACATAGCGCTTGCTAATGGGAACTTCCCAGCGCGTCTCAAAGCCCGCGCTGGCGCGCGGGTACTTCAGTGCGGGTCGGTGGCTCGGGCAGGCGTGGTATTATGATGACGTCGGCAACGGCGGCAACGATGACGAGAATAGCATAGCGGTGGCGAGGTGACGGTGACGGCGGCATGGCCCAAGGCGGCGCCGATGTTGGTGACGACGGCGTTCATGATGTCCACGTGTCGGTGACGAAGGCGGTTGGCTGATGGCGGCGGCAATGGCGGCGGTTGGCGGTGACGACAGCGGTGGTGAGGCGGTGGCTCTGATGAGCCGCGGTTTCTCCTGGGGGCGCGCACCGCGCCGCGGACCAGGGCTCGCCGCGATCGTGCGATCGTCTGACCCGACATGGGGAGGAGGAGGAGGAGGAGGACGAGGAGGAGAAGCAGAAGGAGGAGGAGGAGGAGGAAGAGGAGGAGAAGAAGGTTAAGGACGAGGAGGAGAGGGGTGGGTGAGGGGAAGGACGGGGTGGAGGGTGGTGGTGAGGGGAAGGACGAGGAGGAGGAGGAGGGAGGGGGAGGAAGAGGAGGAGGAGGAAGAGGAGGAGGGGAGGAGGAGGAGCGAAGAGGGACCTCCTCCTCTCCTCCTCCTTCCTCCTCTCCTCCTCCTCCTCCTCGTCCTCCTCCTCCTCCCTCCTCCTCCTCCTCCTCCTCCTCCTACTCGTCCCCTCCGCCTCATCACTCTTCCTCCTCCTCCTCCTCCTCGTCCTCCTCCTCCTCCTCCCCATCCTTCTTGCTGGACCCGGAGGTGGAGGAGGAGGAGGAGGAGGAGGAGGGAGGAGCTCAGACTCGGCCTAGCAGGTTCTGGAGCAGATCGAGCTCCGCGGGGATGAGGGGCACCTATCGTTCTGGCTCTTCGCGGACCGCCCGCCAGGCTTCTCGTCGTCTTCCTCCTAGTCCCCGGCCTGCTCGTCCTGCTGCTTTGTCGTCGTCCTGCTTATCATCCTCGTCCTGCCTGCCGTCCTCCTCTCTGCCCCGACCTCTCCCACGTTTTCTCTTCTCCTCCTGCCCCTGCTGCTGCTCCTGCTGTTCCTGTTGTCTGTTGCTGCTGCTGCTGTTCTGCAGGTAATCATCCCCCCGATCCTCCTCGACCTTCTTTCCTATCCTCCTCTCGCCTCATCTGTCCTGCATCTGCTGCTCTTCCTTTCGCCTCTCTTGCTGCTGCTGCTCATAGTATTCCTCCTCATCTCCATGCTGTTCTGTCTCTTTCTCGTGCTCATTCTCCCTCTCGTTCTTCCCCCCCCTACTCTTCCCCCTCACGGTGCCCGTCGTCGTGGTCCCTTCCCTTCCCCTCTTTCTGCCTCGCTCTCCCCCTGCTGCTGCTGCTGCTGCTGCTGCTGCTGCTGCTGCTGCTGCTGCTGCTGTTGCTGCTGCTGCTGCTGCTGCAGCTGCAGCTGCAGCTGCAGCTGCTGCTGCTGCTGCTGCTGCTGCTGCTGCTGTTGCTGCTGCTGCTGCAGCTGCAGCTGCAGCTGCTGCTGCTGCTGCTGCTGCTGCTGCTGCTGCTCCTCCTCTTCCAGGTCCGGTCGTGTTCGTGGTGCACACGGCGTTCCTGGGCGTCTGTGGCCTCCCGGAGTTTGCTCGCTCGCCGCGCCTGGCGGAGGACGACGCCCTGGTGCAGGCCGTCGGCCGGGGTCGGCCGGGCCTGCTGCGCGTGAGCAGGAGCGGGAGACCTTGAGACGGGGGCCGATGCAAACGGGAGTCAGCCTGCAAACGACGGTCACGGCGACGCCAGACGACCACGACCACGACCACAACCACGACGACGACGACCACGACCACGACGACGACCACGACGACGACCACGACGACGACGACGACGACGACGACGACGACGACGACGACGACGACGACGACAACGACGACCACGACCACGACCACGACCACGACCACGACGACGACGGGTCGCACTGACCCGGGCTTGGGCGCATGATCCTGCAGGGTCTGGCAGGATCCTTCGCGTTGACCCGGGCTTGGGCGCAGGAGCTTGCAGGATCTTGCGCAGGATTTTGCAAGGCCTGGCTGGCCCGGGTCTGGACTGACCTGGGCCAGCGGATCCCCGCCAGGAGCTCGGCCCTCAAGTCGACAGTAGCAAAAAGACATACATTTGTTCGTTCGGCCAGGGCGGCTACACACGCCACTCCTGGGCACACAGTGCCTGGGCCCGGCCTGGGGCGGTGGACGTGGCCCAGATATCGCTGCCCTACACTTTTCCTAGGTCCCCGAGGCTTCCTTGGGTCGTCGGTCGGCGCCAGCTCTGCACCCCACACCTGTCCAGGGCTCATGTCGATTCCTCCGATTCGATCCGATTCGATGTCGATGGCTCCCGCTTCCGATTCGATTCGACTTCGGATTCCGATTTGGATTCCGGTTCCTCAACGGAGGCCCACCAGCCTCCCGGTTTCTACCGATTCGACTTTTCCCGACTCGGCTGCCGATTTTCGCCGATCCGATTCATGTCGATCGCCGATCCGACTAATCGATTCGATCCTGGGTTCCCCTGCCAGATCTACACCCCGCACCAGTCCTGCCCACCGCCCGGGGTCGGTGCGCATCCTCTTAACTGCTGGCCCGGCCACGAGGGCTCCTACGCCGATCCTAGGCGCAGGGCGAGCATGGCCAGGATCGGTGAGGTGGATATCGGCCTCGCGCACAAGGGGAGAAGGGGGGAGGAGGAGGAGGAGGAGGAGGAGGAGGAGGAGGAGGAGGAGGAGGAGGAGGAGGAGGAGGAGAAGGAAGAGAGGAGGAAGAAGATGACGAGGAGGAGGTGGAGGAGGAGGAGGAGGAGGAAGAAGATGACGAGGAGGAGGAGGAGCACAAGGGGAGTAGGCAGAGGGGGACAGGCTTCGAAGAAGCCTTTCCCCCCTCCCCCTCCCCCCCCTTTACGCGCCGCCAGAGTTTCCACGGCCTACCTCCCCGCACCCGGCGGCGCCTCCGGCGGCACCCCTTGGACGTGGCTTAATGGGGGGGTCATAAACGAAGGATTGCACGAAGGATTGCACGAAGGATTGCACGAAGGATTGCACGAAGGATTGCACGAAGGAACGAAGGATTGCACGAAGGATTGCACGAAGGGTTTTTTTGCAATCCTTCGTTCAAGTGGGTTTTTTTGCAATCCTTCGTTCAAGGGGGGTCAGAAAACGTCCCCTTTCGGGCCCCTCCAGAGCCCCAGGGGGCTCGTTTGGGTACCGTTCAGGTGCCTTTTCGAACCACCCACGCCCCCCCCCCCCCCCATTTTTTATGACCCCCCCATTACGCGGCGCCCAAACCCCCAGGGCGCTCTGAGCGCTGTCGGAGGTGGGTCCGGTGCCGGCCCAGAAACTCGCACGGACCTCTCGGAGTTCTTATGACGTCGTTGGAAGGTTTTGGGTGCTCTTGTTTCCAATGGCCACGGGGGAATGATGGTGGGCTTACCATCATCAGGACGATCTCTACATTCTAACTGGGCAGAAAACAAATGACATCGAGCAGCACTTCTACTTTCTGAGAGGGACTGGAAGCCCTCGCATTCCCTGATGCGCAGACGTTCAATACATATATGTATATATGCCTTCGCGCAAAATGTCGACGACGCCTACGGCGAATCACCGCCGCCCCTGCCGTTGGAAACGCCAGTGTGATGAATTGTCAAACGAAGGAGCGGCCATGCTAGTGGATTGTCTGTCCCCCAGCGCCTGGGAAGACCACTCTGGGGCCCCTGGGGTCGTCTTGGGGCTCTCTTGGGGTTATGCTCTTGTCATTCGGGGGCCTTCTTGGAGGCTTCTCGGGGCTCTCTCGGGCCACCTTGGAGCTGGAGCCGTCTTAGACTGCTCCTGGGCCGCCTAGCGCCTTCGCAGACCGCTTCCGGCTCTTATCTCGACCGTCGTCGGGTACCTCGTGGGACTCGTCGTCTTGGGAGTCTCTTGGGCTGTCTTGGAGTCCTCAGGGGCTGCCTCGAGTTGTCTTGGGGCCTCGCGGATCGTGTTTGGGCGATCTTAGGGGGCCTCTTTGGTCGTTGTGCGCTTTCGGCAGCCCAGAAAGGCGCGAATGCGAAAGCAATTCAACATACAAAATTTGAGGTATTAGTGGTTTGGGCCTCCTCGGGGCATCCTGGAAGTCCTCTTGAAGCCCTCTTGGGGCGTCTTGGTGCCCTCTTGGTCCGTGTCGAGGTCATCTTGGGCCCCCTCGGGGCATCTTGGCCCGTCTTGGAAGTCGTCGGGCCATCTTGGGCTCTCTTGGGGCCGTCTCGGTCGTCTTGGGAGCGCATCGGGGCCGTATCGAGGCCCGTCTGGGCCGTCTTCGAGACGGGTGTTACGCTTTGTATGTCCTTCGCGGTGGCGGCGGTTTGTGCCGAAGGGCACTGGGAACTCTGTGGAATGGCCAAGATAGCTATATGGTCCTGCGCGCCAAGGTCCCCTCCCGCATGCTACGGGGACGGCGATCCTAGCGGCGTTCGGCCACCGCCCTACAACGGACACGCACGCCCGGGGATGCAGCGACACCATTCGGGCACCCTCACTCGGACATGCAGCTGGCAACGTCAATGTGCGTGTCAAGCTAGAGGCGTTAGAAGATGCTCTTTGTCTGTGGGCCTGGCCAGGGCTTGCCTGATGGTTTCTGCCACGGGGCCGCCAGGGGCTGGGGACCACCGCTGGTGAGGAGCATGCTGGAGAACGACCGCCTTGACGCCCCGGACGCGAGGCGCTGCAACACGCACTTCGACGCCGTCTGGGTCCCCTCCAAGTTCAACGTGGAGACGTTCTCCAGATCTGGCGTCGACGCGAGGCTGCTGCGGGTGCTGCCCGAGGCGGTGGACCCGCGGCGCTTCAACTGCAGCGCCGGAAGCCCGCCCGCGCGAGCGCGCTCGCCGCCGCCCCTCTTCGGCGCGAGGCGGCTCGATCGCTTCGTGGCCGCGGGCGGCGGGCCCGACACCTTCACGTTCCTCTCCGTCTTCAAGTGGGAGGACACCGCCCCCCGACCTCCGCCTTCCGTCCCTCTCCTCCCAGCCACGATCGCGTCGTAAAAGCTACGGGAGGCCCTCGCCAGGCCTCGGGGCCGTCAACAAAACGGTTCAGGACGACAAATTGGTTCCGGGGAAAGGGTCGGGACTTCCAGGGACGCCGTCCGGAAAAAATCAGGACGTCGCCTGTCTGGGCTCCCCTCCCGCTGGGGTCGATTCCGATCCGATCGAGCCTGCTCCATGTCGATCAGAGCCGCCTCGATCCGAGTCGATCCGATATTCTGCCGAGACGATGTAGCCCGATCCGACGCCCATTCCGATTCGATCCGGTTGTGCGATTCGATTTAGATGGATGTTGCCTTTCGGAGGAGCGCAAGAACTGGAGAACATTGCTGAAGACGTTCTGGCGAACGTTCCCGCACCGCTCGACGCAGGTCGTCCAGGAGAACGGGCAGGCGGTCGATGTCAACGTGCGGCTGCTGATAAAGACGCAGTCGCTGCAGTGGAGCACCGGCCCCGATGAGGACCGTGGACGCTTGCAGCTGGCACGGGGAAGAACGGCGGAGAAGGAGGAGGAGGACGAGGAGGAGGAGGAGGAGGAGGACAAGGAGGAGGAGGACGAGGGAGGAGGAGGGAGTAGAGAGGAGGAGGAGGAGGAGGAGGAGGAGGAGGAGGAGGAGGAGGAGGAGGAGGAGGAGGAGGAGGAGGAGGAGGAGGGAGTAGAGAGGAGAGGAGGAGGAGGAGGAGGAGGAGGAGGAGGAGGAGGAGGAGGAGGAGGAGGAGGAGGAGGAGGAGGAGGGGCACCCTGGTGTTCTTCGTGCTCAGGCCCTTTGCCTCGGAGCGCCCCTTGTTTTGGTGTCTCCGTGGAGCCTTGGGCCTTCGGCGAGGGGGGCTCGTGGTCTTGAGCCACGCTCTTGAGGGTTTATTCCAGCATCGTTGATGGCTCTCGGGGTTACACTGGTCCTCCTCCTCCTCCTCCTTTTCCTTTCCCTCCTCCTCCTCCTCCTCCTCCTCCTCCTCCCTCCTCCTCCTCCCCCAACCTCCTCCTCCTCTCTCCTCCTCCTCCTCCCCTCCTCCTCCTCTCCTCCTCCTCCTCCTCCTCCTCCTCCTCCTCCTCCTCCTCCTCCTCCTCCTCCTCTCCTCCTCCTCCTCCTCCTCCTCTCTACTCCCTCCTCCTCCTCCCTCGTCCTCCTCCTCCTCCTCCTCCTCCCGCTGCACCAGGCGGGCCCGCGGCTCGTGGTCTTGAGCCATGTTTTCGTGGCCATGTCTCGACGGAAGCCTTAAGTCGGGCGTGTCCCTCTACAGGAGGAGTACTCAAAAGTAGTAAAACAACAATCGTCTGGGGACGATTCGTCGAGTATTTCTGGCCATTTGGGGGTATTTCTTGACTGTTCGAAATTTGTCCTTCAAAATCCGCCTCGAGGAGGATATGCCCGACCTCACGGTAGCCGCCGCCCGGAGGCAACGGGCCAGGCATTTCTCACAGAGAGCAGCCGAGTTGGTCGGTGATCTCCTGGGCGCTGCAAGACAGGAGGGCTGGGCGGCTGCGCGGACGTTCGCGCCCGCGAGCTGACCGCACCGAGTCGGGCGTGAGCAGTACCTCTTCGGCGCAGCGTGCCACCCGGGCGGCCTGCGTCGGCCGCCGCGCAGGTTCGCCGCGTGCCCCCGCGTGAGGCCCGGCCGCCGCCATGCTCTGTCTCTGTCTTGCTCTGCCCACCCTCCTCCTCGTCCTCCTCCTCCTCCTACTCCTCCTCCTCCTCCTCCTCCTCCTCCTCGTCCTCCTCCTCCTCCTCCTCCTCCTCCTCCTCTCCTCTCTACTCCCTCCTCCTCCCTCCTCCTCCCTCCTCCTCCTCCTTCTCCTCCTCCTTCTCCTCCTCCTCCTCCTCCTCCTCCTCCTCCTCAGATGGTGGTCGGCCGGATGAGCCGCAAGGGGTGCGCCAGGAGGCCGGATGCGCGCAGTAGACCCGTGGCCAGTTGCTCAGCTGCCCTGATACGCCCATCCTGAAGCGCAACACGCACCATGTGCAAAGCTTCCGTGTCAACATGCTGCGTGTTGGCTCCACGCCTTGGCCCACGTGTGGGCGAACGTTTCGCGCCGAGCGTACGTGTTCAAGCTCCGCCTTCCCCTGGGCGCGCCTCGGGGAAGGACGCGACGGGCGCTGCGTGGGCAAGTCCCGGCGAAGCTACACAGAGGACCGTCCCAGACTTCCGACGCCGTGACATTGGAACACGAGGTGCCCCCCCCCCCCCTGGAGGTCTGCGGGGGCCGCGCCGTGCAGCGCGGACCACCCGGGGTCCCATCCCGCGCGCAGGCAGGCGGGGCGAGGGCCGAGCCGCCCACCTGTCCCGTGGACCACTGCGGGGGCGCTCCCCGAGCTCGGCCAGGCCTGGGGCCGTGGGGGCAGTGGTTCAGGAACGTGCGCGGGAGGCTTCAGACCCTGGAGGGTTCAAACATCTGAGGAGGGCGGCGGCAGAATCCGCGGTGGGGGTTCCACTGGTTTCCAGACCCTGGATTCCTCATCTGGTGTTTCCTTATCAAATGCCCCCACCGTAGGGGGTCGAGTGCAGAACTGATTCACCCCAAACTTGATTTGCCCGTCGCATCTGCAAAAAGAAGAGTATGTGAAGTGTCCGTAGGCCGACGGGCATTCGGCGCACTCGTCGCAGATCCGGCGAACAAACCCAGACGGGAGCAAGTCAGTTGTTTCGTCGATTTCCTGGTCGAGCTGGATGGATGTCCTGGTGCCTCTTGGAGGAGGGGGGCCGCGAATGCTCTTCATGTTGGCCGGCGGAGGGTCTCATGCTCTTGAAGGAGGCTTTCCTGTCCTGGGTTCGACTGTAGATCCGACGAACAAATCCATCTGGGGGCACATCCATCCTGTCGTCGATCTCCAGCTCGAGCTGTGGGGGAGCTCGCCGAACTCGGCCGAAGCCTGGCTGGCCCTGGATCGCTCAAGAGAAAAAGCCTGAACATAAATCTTTGGCGCTCCGCGCGGATTTCTTGGATCTGCGCTGGAGTGCCCTGGCGCGCTCCGCCAGGACCCTAGAGAAAATAGCAAGCACTCATGCCACATTCATCTGTCAACGCCTCCCCTTCCCCCCAATGTTGAAAGTTGGCGGTGGGTCTGATGAGTTGCACCTCGACCGCTGTCTCCCCCGCGCGTGCCAACTGTGAGTTTGGGGGGCAGGAGGGGTGTGCACTAATTGTTTCCCTCTACTGGCGCTCTGCGCTTGGCCGCTCCGCGCGCTCCCCCCGCCAGTTTGTGCTTATACCGTTTTCTCCCTGTGCTGCCAGAGGCGCCCAGGGCCCCCGCGCTCCCCGCCCTCGCCGCCGGCGTTCTGACCGCGCAGCGCGCCTCGGGTCCATGGCCAGGGCGGGGGCGGCGTGGCGCAGCCAGCCGCGTGTGCTTCGAGGAGGAGGAGATGGAGGAGGAGGAGGAGGAGGAGGCAGAGGAGGAGGAGGAAGAGGAGGAGGAGGAGGAGGAAGAGTAGGAGGAGCAGGAGGAGGAGGAGGAGGAGGAGGAGGAGGATAAGACGGAGGAGGAGGAGTAGGAGGAGGAGGAAGAGGAAGAAGAGGATGTGAAGCAGGATGAAGGGGAGGAGGATGTGAAGGAGGAGGAGGAGAAGAAGATGGAGCAGGAGGAGGAGGAGGAGAAGGAGCAGGATGAGGAGGAGGAAGACTAGGAGGAGGGGGAGGAGGAGGAGGAGGAAGAGGAGGAGGAGCAGGAGGAGGAGCAGGAGGAGGAGGAGGAGGAGGAAAAGGAGGAGGAGGAAGAGGAGGAGAAGGAGATAGAGGAGGATGAGGAGGAGGAGGAGGAGGAGGAGGAGGAGGAGGAAAAGGAGGAGGACGAGATCGAGCTAGGTGCGCTCGCGTCAGATCTGACGTCCTACACCTCCATCCCATGCCTTACCATGGCGTAGATGTCCTCTCTATTCGCACTGTCGGATGTCGAGCAGGGCAATTATCGCGAGAGGGTACGCGATGCATTGTAGAGCACGGCATGTCATGGCGTAGAAGAGCACGGCAGAGCGTAGCATGCCACAGCATGACGTGGCATTGCGCAGTGAAGCATTGTATCACAAAGCATTGCAACGCAAAGCATCGCATCGCACAGCGGCGCAGAACGCAACACCGCACAGCATGTCATGGTAAGGCGCCGGGTTCCTTGGATGGCAAGTGGTAGTCTTCGAGAGGTCTGGGCCAGTCTAGAGTCGTGGCTCCATGTCTAGTTCCTGAGGCTCACCGAAAATCTCCACACAAGGCGAGCCTGATGGAGAGCACCCACTGGCTCTGCTTCCAACATCGCCTTCTCCTAGCAGAAACGGGGCTCCCTCTTGATACTTCCTGAAAGTGACGACGCCCCAAAGTGGCGGGGCTTCTGCAGCCCAAAAAACCACCGAATCGGCACCGAATGTGTAATCACTTCCGATGGTTTCGGGGATGCATGTTTCAGATGTTGGGGCCTATCTGGAAAGCCCGACAACGCCCGCGCTGCAGCGGGAACGAGTTAGAACAACCAGAGGCGCAGAAATGGGGCAAGCGCACCAGCGGGAGCAACACTTTGAAATTGCCCTGCGACGTACCCAACCCATGCGCATCAAGTGGCAAGAGGAGTAGGCCAACATTAGCAGGAACAGCGACAGTGTAGACGCGGAATTGCTGCGCAAACTGCATGGGATGCGCATGCGTTGCACGACTCACAGGACGACGATCGACAGAACGAGGATTCAGGCCCCAGGCTCGACGAATAACGGGGACAGGAACGAGGGGCAGGAGAAAGATGTAATGGGGGGTAACCTGAATCTGCGTATGACCCCACTCCGCTGGGCCTCACAGCAGCCCTCGAAAGTGGCGACAGTTTCGCAGATCGCAGCCCCCCCAGGGATGGCGATGTCTAGTCTGAATATGCGTATGGCCCCACTCCGCTGGGCCCCCCCAGCAGCCCTCGACAGTGGCGACGGTTTCGCACTTCGCAGCCCCCCCAGGGATGGCGAGGTCTAACCTGGATCTGCGTATGACCCCACTCCGCTGGGCCCCCCAGCAGCCCTCGAAAGTGGTGACAGTTTCGCAGATCGCAGCCCCCCAGGGATGGCGAGGTCTAATCTGGACCTGCGTATGACCCCACTCCGCTGGGCCCCCCAGCAGCATTCGAAAGTGGTGACAGTTTCGCAGATCGCAGCCCCCCAGGGATGGCGAGGTCTAGTCTGAATCTGCGTATGACCCCACTCCGCTGGGCCCCCCAGCAGCCCTCGACAGTGGTGGCAGTTTCGCAGCTCGCAGCCCCCCAGGGATGGCGAAGTCCGATATGAATCTGCGCATGACCCCGCTCCGCTGGGCTCCCCAGCAGCCCTCGAAAGTGGCGACATTTTCGCAGATCGCAGCCCCCCATAGATGGCGAGGTCGAGTCTGAATCTGCGGATGACCCCACTCAGCTGGGCCCCCCAGAAGCCTTCAAAAGTGGCGACAGTTTCGCAGCTCGCAGCCTCCCAGGGATGGCGAGGTCTTATCTGATCCTGCGTATGACCCCACTCCGCTGGGCCCCCCAGCAGCCCTCGAAAGTGGTGACAGTTTCGCAGGTCGCAGCCCCCCCAGGGATGGCGAGGTCCAATCTGAATATGCGTATGACCCCACTCCGCTGGGCCCCCCAGCAGCCCTCGACAGTGGCGACAGTTTCGCAGATCGCATCCCCACATGGATGGCGAGGTCTAATCTGAATCTGCGTATGACCCCACTCCGCTGGGCTCCCCAGCAGCCCTCGAAAGTGGCGACAGTTTCGCAGATCGCAGCCCCCCAGGGATGGCGATGTCTAGTCTGAATATGCGTATGGCCCCACTCCGCTGGGCCCCCCCAGCAGCCCTCGACAGTGGCGACGGTTTCGCACTTCGCAGCCCCCCCAGGGATGGCGAGGTCTAACCTGGATCTGCGTATGACCCCACTCCGCTGGGCCCCCCAGCAGCCCTCGAAAGTGGTGACAGTTTCGCAGATCGCAGCCCCCCAGGGATGGCGAGGTCTAGTCTGAATCTGCGTATGACCCCACTCCGCTGGGCCCCCCAGCAACCCTCGACAGTGGCGACGGTTTCGCAGATCGCTGCCCCCCAGGGATGGCGAGGTCTAGCCTGGATCTGCGTATGACCCCACTCCGCTGGGCCCCCCAGCAGCCCTCGACAGTGGCGACAGGTTCGCAGATCGCAGCCCCCCAGGGATGGCGAGGTCTAATTTGAATATGCGCATGACCCCACTCCGCTGGGCCCCCCAGCAGCCCTCGACAGTGGCGACAGTTTCGCAGATCGCAGCCCCCCAGGGATGGCGAGGTCTAATCTGGATCTGCGTATGACCCCACTCCGCTGGGCCCCCCAGCAGCACTCGGAAGTGGCGACAAGTTCGCACATCGCAGCCCCCCAGGGATGGTGAGGTAGGAGACAAACTGGCACGCTAGAGCGAGCTAGGTAGGAGGCAGGGGGGAAGAGGAAAGAAGGAGGGGGCGGGAGAGGAGAGGAGAGGAGTCGCGACCGCAGTTACTCTATTCAAAACGAGAACCCAACGCAGGAGGGTTGGGAAAAATCCCAAGCGATAACCATTTCCCGGGAATCCTGTGGAAACAAGCAGTGCGCGGAGGATGGCCGGGTATCTTCCAGACGTCGTCTGGAGAGAGAGGAGAGAAGTACTCACATTGTGTAATTGTAGAGGAGGAGGAGGAGGAGGAGGAAGACGAGCAGGAGGAAGAGGAGGAGCTATGGCGCGCTATGACGTGACCGTGGCTCCCAGGTGCTAGTCTGGCCGCTTGCTGCTACATTACCGATGCAAGCCATCCCCGACTTTGGCGCTGGCGCTCTTACACGCAGTCAGCGCACAAGCGCCAGGGCAGGACTGGGTGGCGCTCGTGGTTTGTTACGCCCACTGCCAGTTCCGCCACCAGCCTGCCCAGACCGCGGACCTCCACTCCCGACTTTTGTGGGAGCCTTCAAACAGTCCGTCAGCGCCTCAAGCGCCAGGGCAGGACTGGGTGGCGCTCGTGTTTTGTTCCGCCCACTGCCAGTTCCGCCACCAGCCTGCCCAGACCGCGGACCTCGCAGTCACCGTGGGTGGACTCACGCCAGAGAAGACAAGAGGAGGAGCGAGGAGGAACAAGCCACAGAGGCAGCCAGCCCCACAGCGCCGCGGCAACCGCCGCCACCTGGGAGTTCTACAGAGGAACCCGACCCGACCAGAGGCACGCAGCGCATGTCAGCCCGAGCTCCCTGATTTAGCAAACTACGAGCCCTCACACAATCCGTGGCCAGGCCACGGCCGTCCGCGCGGCGGCCCCGCTCGTGCTTCGAGTATCGGCGGCGACCGAGGGGGGGAAGTGAGAAGGAGAAGGCCTTCCCAGAAGGCTGCGGGACCTCTGAGGAGCCCTCGCGCCCTCTGAGAGGCGTTTCGCGTCTTCTGGGAAGGCTTAGAACATTTCTAAGAAGGCCCGGGGCTACCGAGCCTTCGGAGAAGGCTCGCCACTTCTCAATTTAGCCCTCGGGCCCGCAGCCCAGAGTAGGAAATTGACTACAGGACTGATTTACCTCAACATTGATGCGTCCGTCAGGTATACGAAAGAAAAGAGTATGTGTATGTTTCAATCGATTCGGCGCAACATGGATTTCGCGGTGAATCAGGTCTGCAGTCGGTCCCATAATTCCTCGAACGCTGCGGGCCGGCACGCGCGGGGGCCGCGCGCTGCGCGCCGCGGGAAGGAAGCGCTCGACAGGTCCGCTTCCCAGGCCTGCAAAGCGCACCGGCAGGAGCAGTCCATGAGGTCCTGGCGCTTCAATCTGTGAGCCCGGCGTTTTCGCCCAGGTTCGGGCCCTGGGACCCTCGCAAATCGATCCATGGCGAACATCTGCGCCGACAGATGCGAGCTGGGTCCCCAGTCGTGGCTTCTCGCGATTTGTCTATTTCGTCGAGGGCCCCAGGACCCTTCAAGAACGCCTCGGGACGAAAAGCCGCCCCCGCAGGAAGGGTGGGGTCTTCTGGAGACCCCCGCATAGAACCAATTTATACATCGGACACCTATACGACCACCCTCCGGGTGATAAGGAGGTTGGGGGGGTGGGGGGGGGGAATATCTAACTGCTGGCTGATGAGATGGGTGTGATGATGACGCTGCTGGTGACGCGCTCTTGAGTTAGCGGCGGCGCGTGTTGAAGACGTTGCGCTACTATGCAATGTCACTATCGTTCCCGCTTTCGATCCCATTCGATCGATCCCACTATCGACGTCGCGGTCAGTTTTAGTACCAATGGACTCAGCGATCGGTTCCAGGATCGATCCCACTAGCGATCTCAGTGTCGATTCCCCTATCGACTTCACTACGATCTCACTCTCGATCTCACAACCAATGTCACAATCAAACTCACTGTCGATATGCTGTTTGATATCATTGTCCATTCCTTTTCAGCGATATCATTATCGATTTCACAATCGACTTCACTATCGATACCAAGGACGGACACCCACAGCCACCGCACGCCCTCGCCGATGGGTGGGCCACCGACGGGACACCAGCGGGACACCAAGGGGACGCCAACGGGACACCACAGGACACCACGGCGGGACACCCCGGGCCACCGCGCGCCCACCAGGGGCGGAGGGACGGCACACTGCGTCCGAATCGCCCTTGCGACGGCGGGGTCAGTCCTTTCGCGCGCCCATTCAGCTTCGCCTCGCCCGCACGCACGACACGAACACGAAACCGAAATTGATTTCTTGGAGGGGGACTCTCCGTTCCATTGCGTTCTCACCCTCCAACCTCCGATCAGGGTTTCAGTCAAGGTCGGCCCCTGGGCCCCTCCCAGAAGCCTCCCCGACCAGTTAATCATTCGGGAGCTGGATGCACATGACGCGGCTGGACTGGGCGAGCGCTGGACATACATGCGGCCGCATGGCTTTACAGCGTTTTGCACTTCTGCGGCTGTATGCGCCAGCCCTCCGCATTTGTATTCAGCCTGCGGCATCTGCACGCTCGACATGTGCATCCAGCCGCACGTGTTTCCAGCGTGCTGGTGGTTTTTCGTCCCGTGGCCACAAACGAGGTCCCAGAACCCTCCAAAAGAGCGCCCAAGCCGGTCGGGTCGTTCTCCTCGGCGTCCGGCTCTGTTGCGTCGTTGAGCCTGGCACGTTCTTTGCCCGGGGGAGCCTGACTACTTGGTGAGGTTCTGGACACCTTGTGGATCTGCTCTATGTAGTCTTATTGGCGCCCATGGGGCGAGGACATCGCCCGGCTCACCGAGGAGCTCGGCGTGGATGCGGAGGAGGCCGAGTTCCGGATGCTCATGACGAGGAGATCCTCCCGCCCCCCCCCCGCCCTAGATAAGAGCTCTTGCTTCTTCTGCGCCTCCTCCTCCTCCGCCTCCTCCTCCCTCCGTGGCCACTTTGGCCCAAGAGCCTGGATAAGATGTTTTTAGACGACTCTTGCTGCTCCCTTTCATCTCACCGTTTGCGGTTCCCTTTTGAATCACCGTGGCAGACGGGGCTGCGAGCTCCGCACGAAGAAGCAATCAATCGGCCATCTTGCCGCTCGTGCTCGCACTCATGAGTCCATTCTGGCGCAGCGTTGTCAGGATACGGGGCAACTGGATGCTATGTTGTGTCAGGGCCAGACTTGAGCACTACACCGTGAAAACCCGCAGCGTGCAGGTGCAAACGATCTCCCCCGCGCAATAGCCACGCTTGCAGCAGGGCCTCACTTTGGAGGGCGCGAGCATGTCACGGCATGCGGCTTCACTCTCCAGCTGCAGGTCGACGCCGCAGCATCCGCCTCGGGCACCAGCAACAGCATCCGGCTCCCAAATACACCTCCGACCAGCTGCGAGCAGACGCCGTGGCCTTCATCCATGACAAGGCCGATGGACTGGCTGGAGACGCGCGCGCCTGACATCCGCATGCTGCGGTATGGGAAGACTCGTCTTGTTATGCTCAAGGGCGCCCTCGAGGGCGCGAAGTTATTCGCGCTTCGCGGTTCGGCTCCGATTCCTCCTCGTCCTCCTCTTCTCCCCTGGGAGGCGGCGCGAGAGCACGAAATTCTTCGCACTCCGCGCTTCGTGCAGCGCGCAGCGCGAAGCCGGGAGCCCTTGCCATGCTGGTCTCATCGATGAGCAGGCGCCTGTTCTTCCTGAGCCGTCCGCTTCCAATCGGGGGCTCTGGCCGCCGTGCGTGCCCAGCGTGCCCTCGGGGGGTCTTGATGGCGTGCTCTGGGAGTTGACTTGTCGGAGACCAAATCTTGGCAAGCCGATTCGTCTTCTCGATTTGTCTTGATTCGTCTGGGACTTGATTTATCTGGGACTTGATTTGTCTGGGACTTGATTTGTCTTTTCCTCTGGGGCAGACGGGTAGATGACAAACTTTGTTTCAGTGAGCGGCCGTGCGTTGTTCAACTCGGCCGGTCTGCAGGGCCGCGGTGACCAGCGGCCGGCGGGGGCAAAAAAACAAAGTCTTGGCAAACGCGTCGCGTGCACAGGCCCGTCGGCTGCCGGAGCTTCCGGCGCGACCGGACCCTGCTGCATGTTCCCGCCCGTGCCCTGTGTGGCCGCCCCCCGTGGGCATGCAGGCCCGACCTGACCTGACCTTCTTCGGCCACGCGCAGAGGGGGGTAGGGGGAGGGGGGAAGGCTTCTTAGAAGCACCCATGCTTCTTAGAAGGCGCGGTCCTTATATAGATGTAAGGCCGCCGCCTTCTAAGAAGCAGCCTCCTTCTAAGAAGCCTTCCCCCCTCCCCCCACCCCCCTCTGCGCGCCGCCAACTTCTGGGAATTGGCCTGGCTGTGGCCACTGGTTTGGGATGGCAATGCTGCTCTGCCGCCTCTGCAGTCTCAGCGTGCGCCGTTGCAGCGGGATGCCGCGGTCCTGAGGAAGCAGTAGGAGAAGCAGTTCGGGATGGTCCATGAGCTCGCTGAGGTCATCGGCTGTCACCCACAACGTCTTGAACGCTCGGTGCTTGATACGCTGGACTCCCGTCTCGCTGCCCAGGAACAGACGCTGGCTTCCTACCGCGAGGCTGGTTGCGGAGAGTTCCAGAAAGTCGTGGGAATGTTTTGCGGCGCAGCGTTGCGCCGAGTTGGTTTCCCATCGCACTGCCGTCCTGAAATGCATCCAGAAGGCGGTGGAGCTCAACCGCGCCGAGTTGGTAGCCATGTTCATGAATGTTTCAAGCGCCGAGTTGATAGCAATAACATATGACTCGCTCCGTTCGGTGCCACTATGACAGAGTAGAGGAGGCTGTTCGGGTTCTGACACAACAGAGTAAGACGTGTGTCGACATCGAAGTTGGCAAACTAGAGCCCCAACTTCATGACAGCGCAAAGCCTTCCCATCGCAAGCTACATGCATCAGTCGGTCAGCTTGTCAAATCAGAATCCTTACTAGAACTGGCAGAAGCGATTGCTGAGGTCAGTCCTCTCGTTGTACGTGTTCGTGCGGAGAACGTGCTGCAAACCGTCCAGGACGCGGAGCTCTCACGTGCGATCAAGCGATTGGAACGCCGCTATGAGGACTTACAGTCGCAGGTGCTTGGTGCTCTTGGTTCTACGACTACGGATCGCTTGGTCGCCGAGCTGCGGGAGTCTGTCCCGTCGTCGGCGACAGTGGCAGGCTCTGTTACGTCGTCGATCCAATATTTTTCTTGAGCATCGCGCAGAATGTTGCTTGCGGAGGAACCGGTGCGGGCCACCAGATTGGTGTTTGCGGTTGCTATGTCTGCCAGGGGGGGGGGGGCACACTGTCCCGTTGCATGCAGGATCGGTCTCGTCGTCTTCGTCGTCGTCATCTCGCAACTGTGCCAGCGAATATGACGAGGAGGATCAGAAGCTTGCGCGGTCTGTCGGGCGCTGCTCTTCCGCTCCCTCCGCCCCCTTGCGGGTGCTCAAGGCCATGCTTGCTCGAGGATGGTCATCCGAGCAGGCAGCGGTCTGATAGCAGCGGATTGGTCCGCCTGACGAGGCCTGTCGCGAGTGCGGTGGGGCCGACAGCATTACGACGATCAGATTCACGTGCCGATGCATGCGGGCTCCGTCATGGTCGGCCTGAAGACGCTTGTGATCAGGTGTGGCCTCTGCGTACGGTTGGCCCTTGTCGTGTTCACGCTGGGATGCTCCCTTGCGCATCGTGCATCCAAGGGGCTTCCGCCCACCTCCCACCACCCGTATACACGTTGCGGATTCGCCGTGTACCGAGCATTGTACTCGCCCCTTCGGCCACGTTCCACCTCCACCTCCTCATCCCGCCCTGCCTCTTCTCACTCCCTCTCCCTCGCAACCCCCTCCCCCTCCACCACCACCTCCTGCTCTATTCCACCCCCCGCTCTCCAATCCTCGTCCTCCTCCTCCTCTTCCTCCTCCTCTCCCTGCACCGCATCGGCGCTCTAGGTGGCAGTCCAGTCTTCCTGCACCGCCACCCTCAGCAATTACACATGAATGATATGTTCCTCTCCCCCCTGCCCACGTCGGCAAGATATTCGACCCTCTCCGCGTATCACTTGTACAACGGATGTAAGCCTTGCGCTTTCCATTATTGTGTTTCCAGTCTGATTGTTTTCGGTTTTTCAAAATTGTGTTCCTGGTGCAGCGTGGGCCCCATTTTCGGATCGGTGCTTTGCTCCCGTCGTTCAGAGTGGCGCTCTCACCCCAGCGCGGGCCACTTTCCTGGAGCCGAGTTGTTGTTTGTTCATCGTGGTCGCTCCCATATCCCGCCCTCCGCCTTCCCCTGGTCCTCCTTCTCCTCTTGCCCCTTCCACTCCAGCTCCTGCTGCTGCTGTTCGTCCTCGTCCCCTTCTTTCCTGCTCCTCCTCCTCCTCCTCCTCCGCCTCCTCCCCATGTCCGCTATGACACACGTCGGCGGATAGAGAAGACACGACGCAATGGGAAGGAACGGGTGGGAGGGGCAAGATGCCAGATATGGCGCGGGCGCGCCTGGGTTGCCCTCCTCCCCTCTCGCCTCACCCCTCTCCGGCTTCTCCTTCTCCTCGTCCTCTCGATCGTCGTTCCCCCGTCTCCTCCCTCGCCCCGGTCTGCTCCCATCTCCTCCTCTTCCTTCCGCTTCCTCGTCCTCCTCTCTCCCCCCTCACCAGATCCCTCTCCTTCTCCCCCTGCGCCCACTACCTGCTCTCCCTCCCTCCCTCCCTCCCTCCCTCCCTCCCTCCCTCCTCCTCCTCCTCCTCCTCCTCCTCCTCCTCCTCCTCCTCGTTCTGCTCGTTCTCTCCCTCCTCTTCTTCGACGGCGGCCACTAGGACGCCGACGATGACGTCGACGCCCACGACGACGACGACGACGACGACGACGACGACGACGGCGACGACGACGACGACGACGACGACGGCGACGACGACGACGACGACGACGACCACGACGAAGACCACGATCACGACCACGACGACCACGACCACGACGACCACGACGACGACGACGACGGCGACGACCACGACGACCACGACGACGATGCCTTCGTCGACGTCGACGACGACGCCGACGTCCGCCAGGAAGCCGCTGCCCGCCTCGCTGCTGCCCGGCCTCTACCGGGCCGCGGACGCCTTCGTCCTGCCCTCGCACGGAGCCTGCCACACGGAATGGGTACGGAAAGAATGGGTGCAATGCCCAGCGGCAGTTCCTCTTCATTTTGAACAGGACTCGCTGTCCACGCCGCCGCGGCCTGTGTCCATTCGGGGCAGGAGGCCGCCTGCCCAACAGCGGCCGCTGCTGGTTTGGGACAACATTTGTTGTTGGGCATTGTACCCATTCTTTCCGTGCCCATTTCGGGCGTCCAAATCCATCCCTCCATTTCGATTTATCTCTGTATCACTAATTCCTCCCAGTCGCACCCCCACACGTGTCGGTAGTGCAGGCCGGGCGTTTCGCGTGAGACTTCCACGCGATGTATGGTCTTGAAGCCTGAGATTTGCAGCAGCTTCGCGGATGGGGGGCGGGCCGTTTTCAAAATGTGGTTCTCGCCTTGGCGCCGCGCGCACTCGTTTTTTTCCCCAACCATCCTGTGGTGTTTGGGCCTCGTTTTGAACAGACAGTCCCCAAGTCTCCTGTCCTCTCCCTTCCTCTCCTCTCCTCTCCTCTCCTCTCCTCTCCTCTCCTCTCCTCTCCTCCTTCTCCTCCTCCTCCTCCTCCTCTTCCTCCTCCTCCACCTCCTCATCCGCCTCCTCCTCCTCCTCCTCCTCCTCGTCCTCCTCCTCCTCCTCCTCCTCCTCCTCCTCCTCCTCCTCCTCCTCCTCCCCTCCTCCCCCTCTTCCCTCCTCCCGTCACCCTCTTCACTTTTACACACACACACACACCTCACACGTTTCGTGGCCCCATAAGGAGCTCCACCGAAGGCCCCAGTGGCATGGTTCGCATGCCGCCCCCCTTCCACCTTGGTGCACCCCTCACAAGTTCCGTGGCCCCATACGGGGGCTCCACCGAAGGCCTCAGTGGCATGGTTCGCATGCTGGCCCCCCCAACCCTCATTTTGGAACACCGCTCACGCGCTTCGTGTCCCCATAGGGAGCTCCACCGAAGGCCTCAGTGGCATGGTTCGCATGCCAGCCCCCCCCCAACCCCCATTTTGGAACCCCGCTCACACGTTTCGCGCCCCCCTAGGGAGCTCCACCGAAAGCCTCAGTGGCTCGCATGCCGCCCCCCCTCCACACACGTTCCGTGGCCCCATACGGGGGCTCCACCGAAGGCCCCTGTGGCATGGTTCGCATGCCGCCCCCCCCCTCCACTTTTTGGCACACCCCTCACACGATTCGTGGCCCCATCGGGAACTCCACCGAAGGTCCCAGTGGAATGGTTCGCATGCCGCCCCCTTCCACTACCCGCATACGCTTCGCGGCCCAATAGGGAGCTCCATCGAAGGCCCCAGCGGCGGCGCCCGCGCCCCATTGCGGCGCACCCTTCTCGCGCTTCGTGCCCTTAGGGAGCTCCACAGAAGGCATGTCTTACAACGGCGGCATTCACAACTAGAGATGGATTTGTCCGTCGCCAGGATGGTTGCTTGAGCATATAACATGTTCCCTGATGGGAGAAGGTCCGTTTTCAAAATGTGGTAATCGTTGTAGTTCCGCGCGCATTCGTTTTAAACGTTTGCACCCTTTCACGGATGGAAGGCGGCTCTTTTTCAAAATGTGGGTATCGCCGCCGAGCGCCGCGCGCATTCGTTCTGATTGTTTGCAGCAGCTTCACGGGTTCGCACTGTTGAACGCCCAGGAACAGCGTGCTGGCGCGGTTCAGGATGGTCAGGACGCAACAGTCGATTCGTAGAGTCGAAGTTCCAGGAACGGTGTTCTGATACGATTTAGACTTGCCAGGACGCAACAGTCACGTTGACCCGCGGCGCCGACGTCCCAGGAACGGCCTTTTGGCACGATTGAGGTACTCAGACGGTTGTATTTCGATGGGGCACTTCCCGCAACGCGAGCGATTTTTGTAGCGGGCTATGGAAGGGATTTCGGAGAGAGAACGGATTGCATCATCGTTGATGCGTCTTGTGTTTAAATTGGTCCTCCTCCTCTTCCTCTCCTTCATCCTCTCCCCTCTTCTCCCTCCCCCTCACCTTCCTCCTCCGCTTTCGGACTCGGGACGCGCGGTCGGTTTCAAGTCTTTGGCAGTGGCCTCGTCAGTGGAGTTGCAGTGGCTCCTCCACGCCGAGTTTAGCAAGCTCAACATCTCTATCAAGTGTGTGCCAAGTGTGAAAGGCTTCCGCACCATCGCTACGGCACACGAGAGGAGTGCCACATGGAATGTCCATCCGCGAAATGGTATTGCCCTTCGTTGTTCTCGGAAGTTCTGCTGCTTGGCGAAGATGTGTGGGACCTCTCGCAAAGCAGGTAAACCAGGAGTTTGGGCTTTGGGATCCTGTGGGCATGGTATGTCGGTGTTTCCTCGAGGTGCTCTCAGGAAATCCGTGTCCTCTGCAGCCTGCCGTTCTGGTTGCTGGTCCTCGGGAGCCCGCACCACGAGTGTTTCACGCGTGCTGCACGATGCTGCGGGCGTTCCTGCATTTTGCTTGCGTGTGAGACAGCTTCTTATGAGATCTGAGGGTTGGGCTAGCCTCCCAGAGGATCTCCGGAGTGGCATGCGAAGGGTTTGGGGGTCCACGTCCAGGAGTGACGTGTTACTGGGGGCAGGTTGCGGAGCGACGCGGAAGCTTTCACGCAACGGATCCCGTACATCAAATTATTGTATATTTTTACGTCTGGTTTGTCTGGACATCTATATGTGTTCCCCCTGGCCCCCTTGGAATCGCGCCACATCGGCGGACCAAAATTGCACCCCCGGCTTCTGGCGCCCAACAACGTATCAAAACGTAGTGAGCATTTGTGATATCGGCCTCTGGGGCCTCTTTGGGGTCAAGAAGTACTTCCAGACGGCCCAACATGGCCTCCAGACGGCACAAGATGGCCCCAAGACGGCCCAAGATGGCCCCAAGAGGGCCCCAGAGGCCCCCAAGACAGCCCCAGAGGGCCCCATGGGGCTTCTGAGAGTCCTCCACAGGCCAAAAATTGTAATTCTCTGTAGGGTTCAGAAAGATGTTCGCGTTCTTGCCTTTTCCGGCTCTCGGGGGCCCATGACGGCGCAAGCAGCCTCCAAGATGGCCCTAAGACGGCCCCTGAGGCCACCAGGAGGACCCCACGATGGCCCAAAAGGGTCCCAAGATTGCCCAAAGAGGCCTTCAAAACGGCTCAAGAGTCCCCCGAGACGGCCCAAGGGCACCCCAAGAGAGCCAAAAGGCGGCCCCGAGAGGCTCCCAAGACGGCCCCCGAAGGGACAAGACGTCACAAGAGCGCCCCAAGACTGCCCAAGAGGCCCCAAAGAGGCTCTCAAGAGCCCCCCAGGGGCCCCCAAGGAGCTCCCAGGAGGCCCCCACACATTCCAGCTGCGCGGGCAGCCTCCCGCACCCGAAGGTGCTTGCACCCACTTGACCAGGGGCGCGGCCCCCCCCCGCCGCCCAGCCTGGCGGTGCCAGTCTGAGCCGACGCGCGGGGCGCCAGGAGCGCAGGCACCCCCAAGAGCGGGAGGGCGGGGCGAAAGCGCGCGCGCGCGCCGTCCACGAGGGCGGGACGCGGGCGCCGACGCCTGCAGGATTCAAATTGCCAGTGCCCGCAACCCACGCGACCCCGCGGCGCGCGGCGCTCCGCCCCGACGGGATCCCCGCGGCGCGCCTGCACGGAGCGCGCCACGCAGTGCAAGCAGACGAACCGCCGTCGCCCCGTGCGCGCGGGGGGCCCCTCCTCGCGGGGCCGCGCGCCGCAGAGTGCACGCGCCGCCGCACGCCCTCGCGCGCGCGAGCCCGTCTCGTGGGGGGCTGCGCGCCGCGAGGCGCCGGGGGGGCGGGAGGCGGCCCGCTCGCGCGCGGCTCGCCCGCCGGCGCGGGGGCCAGCCGCGGGCGCGAGAGTTGTGCCCGCGCACGACGCTCGGCGGCGAGCGAGGGGGGGAAGCGAGAGGGAGAAGGCCTTCTCAGAAGGCCGGCGGGACTTCTCAGAAGCCCCCGCGCCTTCTGAGAAGTTTTTTCTGTCCTCGGGGAAGGCTGAGAAAAATGTCTCCGAAGTCCGGGGGACTTCCGGGCCTTCTGAGAAGGCACGCCCCTTCTCATTTCCCCCCGTGGCTCGCCGCCTAAACGCAGCTCAAGTGTGCGCGCGCTTTCGATGGCGTTGTGCGCCCACCAAGAAGCCCAAAAAAGCGGCCCCTAGAAGCCACCAAGAGGCCCGCGGAACTGAGTAGGACGAGCGCGCTGTTGTTATGCTCATCGGGTTTGAAGTTGACGTCTGCTTGTGCTGACGCGGTGATTGCTCATTGCCCTCGTGGACATTCGCACGCTCGTCCCGGCGCTGAAACTAGAGGGGAAAGGGGGATGCATCCGACCCCCGTGGCGCTGGCGGCGCCCACGGGCGGGCAGAACAGTGCGGCTGACGAGCAGGGTAAACCACCCAACGCCCAGTCTGTACTTGCCCTGGGCGTGCACCCCGCGAAGCGAGAGGAGCCCCTTCATCAGAAGCTCGGCCTCCTTCCCCCCAGTCTCGTTGAAACAGTTTTCGAGGCCCTGCAGCCGCTCTGTAGGAGCACTGGACAAGGTACCCTCAGAGAAGAAATGCCGGGTCTGGGAACCGGTGGGATTCCAATTGTGGGTCGGCCATTAAGATCGCCGCCGCCTTCACCAGGAAAGGAAGCCTCCAGGATCTTAAGCTTCCTGGGCGCAATCTTTGACGGACGCCCCCGCCGTACCATTGTTGTCGGAGGTTGCTGGCCAGAGAGCCGGTTTGCGGATGAAGGATGCTTTGCTGGCGGCAGATATTTCCCATGTCATCCCTGCGGGGGATGGCCTGCGAACGTCTTCTATCCAGGACCCTGCGTCGGGTAATAGTAAGTATCTTGTCTCGTATGATCTTGCCGCCGACCTTGCTAGCGCGTTCTTCACCCGAGGAATTCCAAATCGTGACGTTTCGTGTGGGCACCTAGCTCCTCTTCCTCCTCAAGAAATCTCTTGGGCGTGGAGACGGTATCGTGCCCAACGTGCAGTTCCAGGGGGCAGATGGGGTGTTGACGGCTCTGGAGGGCGCTTCGTGTTTGATAAACGTCGTCGGAGGTAGGTGTGCATGTCCATGATTTCTTCTGGGGACCATGACGGACTTGATCTTCAAATTGATAGCTTAATGTTTGGTAGTCCTCCTACTCGTGACCAATCTAGCCCTCGTGCTAAACCGCATGCGTTCCTCATGGTGCTATTGCAGCGCGCCATGCCCGATGCAATTCTGATTGCCCGCCCTTGCTGAATGTGGTCCGGCAGCCACGAGCGCAGGTAGTTGCCAGTAGCTCGATACTCGACCTATGGGCTCGGATCTCGTCGGCTCCGGATGATCGTGACCCTGGTCGGGTGGAGGTTCTTTAGACCAAGAGCCGGTCGACGGCCCACCAGTGGTCCCAATTCGCCATCGGAGACGAAGAGTTTCCCTGCGTTGCTGGTTATTTTTTGGGCTGGGCTGCGGGAAAGTGCAGGCCCATTCTTGAGCAGGTCGATCTGACAGGTCAGTTTGACCAGCGCGCCTCCGCCACGGTGGATCGATTAGTCGATATCCATGGAAAGACACGCAGTTCACTCGAGTCCCTGTCGAATTTCTGCCGCCCGCCCCCGCGCCCTGCTGCTTTACCTTCTTTTGCTTTGAGGCGTGAGAGGTTGCGGAGTGCTGGCCACGATCCTCTCCGATTTGGCTATTTCCTCACAAGTCAAGTGTGCGACCGTAAGTTGGGATTCAGAGGCAAGGTTCGGGTCTTTTGTCCATGTCCATGTCTTGAGTTTGTTCGCCTCTCCCCTGGCCCTCACATCCACCCGCTGTGTTCCAAAATTGCAACTCGCCTCAAGCATTCGCCGATTGCAGGTGCTGCGAGGCGCGATGTATTTTGACAGGTGTGGTGCGCATGTCGCCGTTGCTGCACTTGGCGTTGGCCAACCGTGACAGGCCATTGACCGACCTTTTTCTTATTCAAACGGGGAGCAGGGCTGGACCTAATCGCTGTTTTGCTGGACGTCGGCTGTGTTTTGTTCTTCGTTTTGGCAGGGAGGTACAGGAAAACAGGTAGAGCAAAACGAAAAACAAAGCACAGACAATAGGAACACAACGTTTAGGTCCAGCCCCGACGGGAAGTTTTTGTCCAGAGTGTCTTGAGGATGACTTCCACAGCGGTGGATGCTTCCCCAGGTGTGCATTGTCCTTCGTGCCCAGACTTGGCCTGGTGTCTACCGGCTTTGGAATCTGAATGCGAATCCCTCCCCATCCTACCGCCGTCCCTCCTCCTCCTCCTCCTCTTCCTCGTCCTCCTCCTCCTCCTCCTCCTCCTCGTCCTCCTCCTCCTCCTCCTCCTCGTCCTCCTCCTCCTCGTCCTCCTCCCACCTCCTCCTCCTCGTCCTCCTCCTCCTCCTCCTCCTCCTCCTCGTACTCCGCCCTTCGTCTCGTCCTTCTCTGCCCTCCCACTTTCCTTTTTCCTTCCCATTCTCCTCGTTCTCCTCCCTCTTCCATTATGCTCCTCTTCCTGTGTGCTCCCCTCCTGCATGAGCAGGAGACAGCCCCCACAAGGTGGAAGAGGAGGAGGGGGATCAGAAGCATGACGATGATGCTGATTATGATGATGAGGATGACAAGGATGATGATGATGCTGATGATGCTGATGATGATGCTGGTGATGATGGTGATGATGAGGAATGATGATGATGATGATGATGATGATGATGATGATGCTGATTATGATGATGAGGATGACAAGGATGATGATGATGATGATGATGATGATGATGATGATGATGATGATGATGATGATGATGATGATGATGATGATGGTAATGACGACAATGCTGATGCCGCTGATGGTGATGCGGATGCTGATGATGATAAGTTTGATGGTGATGATGATGACGAGGTGGAGGAGGTGGAGGAGGAGGATCACGGGCAGAATCATGATGCGCAGGAACAGTAGTTGGAGAAGGAGAATAAGGAAGATGATGAAGAGGAAGAAGGCAGGATGGGGTTGGGGAGTGGGGTGGGACGGGGGGATAGGGGGGTGAGGAGGAGGAGGAAGAGGAGGAGGAGGAGGAGGAGGAGGAGGAGGAGGAGGAGGAGGAGAGGAGGGAAACCTCCTGGTCCTGCTGCCGCTCCTGTTTCAAGTTATCATCATGTTCAACCTTCTCCTTCCCCTCATCCTCCCCCTTCTATCCCCTCCCTCCTCCCCCGTGCCTCCTCTGTGCTTCCCCCTTTTCCATTTCTTTCCCTCCTCTTGCACACCGATTCTCGCCTTGTCATTCTTTCTCTCTCTTCCCCTGCCCCTTCTCCCCCCATGCTTGTCGTCGTCCTCCTGCCTCCTGCTCCCATTCCTCCTCCTTCCTTTCCTCCCCTCCCTCCTCCCCCTCCCCCTCCTCCTCCTCCTCCTCCTTCTCCTCCTTCTCCTCCTCCTCCTTCTCCTCCTCCCCCTCCTCCTCTTCCTTCTCCTCCTCCTCATCCTGTTCTCATTATCGTCCTCCTCCCCCCCGCGATCTGCAAGGAGAGGGCTGGGGACTGCCCCTCATGGAGGCCATGGCCTCGGGTCTGCCCACGATCGGCACTGGCTGGGGCGGCAGCACGGAGTTCATGCACGCCGGCAACTCGGCGCCCTTTCCGCCCCCTCTTCGGGAGCTGCGAACGGTGCCCCCGGCCCAAGGCACCCCCTCTGAGTTTCAGGGAGCCCCCCACGGCCTCCACAGAGCACTCCTCGCGAGGAGCAGGGGGCCCCAGCTGGTCCAGGTTTGAGCGAAGAGCTGGGGGCACCTTGGGCCTCAGGGGCGCCTTCAGCAGCCCTCCACCCTCGTCCTCGCCGAGACAGTGAGAAATATCAGAGCGTGAATGACCTACCCCGCTTTCGCTTCCAGGCAAAACCAAGTCATACCACGCGCCTCCCCGTCGAGTGGCCTGACCAGTGCGTGCCGTAGTTTGGCATCGCTTGGTAGCTCTTGGAAGCGAGGGTGGTCAAAAGCGAGGTAGGTTCGTTTGCCCCCTAAAAAAGTGGGCCCTGGATGCAAAGGGTTCGTCCTTTGCGGGCTCCCTGGGGCCGTTCCCAGGGCCCCAGGGCCGTGTGGAGCAGCGACTCGCTGTGAAACGCTGGTCCATAGGGGGCAGCTCTGGGGCCCAGGGGCCGTTTCCACAGGGGCCGCTTCTCTCACGCCAGGCCTCCCCTCCGCCTCCCCCTCTCGCCTCTGCTCCCTCTGATCCATCCTTCTGCTCCCTCTCCTCCTCCTGCGCCTCTCCTTCGGCTTCTCCTGCGTCTCCTTCGGTCTCCTCCTGCGTCTCTTCCTGCTCCCTCTCTCTTCTCCTCCCGCCTCTTCTCCGCCTCCTCCTCATCCATCCCTCTTCCCTGCATACCATCACGTGACATAACTCCCTTGTCGAACCACCAGGCGTGTCCGTAGGCCGGTCCAGGAGCTCCAACAGCTTCACGGGTGGAGTGCGGGTGGTGTTCGACATGCTGCTCCCGCGCCGGCGCCGCGCACATCCCCGCCACAAGCCTGTGACAGGTACAGGGATGGAGGACGGGCCCTATGAACATAGGGCTTTCGCTTGAGTCCCCCAGAGTCCCGAGGCCTCCATAAAACAGGGCTAGGATCGGGATAAATCGCTCCAGAGCGTTCCGGAGCGCTCTCAGAGCGTTCCGGAACGCTCTGGAGCGGCCGCGGCGCCCACTACATCCTCCAAACCCGCCGATTCTCAGAGATTTCGAGTTATCCCGATCCGATTTTGTCCCGATCTTCGCGTCGTTTTACTCCAGCAGGCTCCCACGAGAACCGACACGAGCCCCGAGAAGCACCCAAGAGGTCCCCAGAAGCTTCCCAAGGGGCCCGCAGCGCCGTCGCCTTGCGCCGCCCGAGCCGCCGCCGCCGCCAAGGGGTTCCCCCCGATAGCCCTCAGAGCGTCGCCCTCGAATCTAAAGATGAGCGGCTCTGGCCCCCGATCCGATTTTGTCCCGATCTTCGCGTCGTTTGATTATGACCCCCCCGACATTACGCGGCGCCCCAAGTGGTGGGCGGGCTTTGTGGGCCGTGCGGGAGCGCCGCCGCTGTCCCCACCGGCCCTGCGCAGAGAAGGGAGGATCGAGAGGTGCGAAAGGGGGCTCGGCGCACGGGGGCCGCGCGTCGGGCCACGCCCCACCCGTCCCTTTGGACGCTCTGGCAGGTGGAGCAGTTGCTCGGATGGAGTGCGGTCCAGACGTTTACAGTAATCCTGCGCAGCAGTGCAGATGGGGAGCAGTGCCTTGCCAAAGCGGGGCTCTCGCGTGGCACCTCTTTGACCTCTACGACCCTGCACATCGCACTCCTCATTACCAGCCGTATGGATGCAAGGCAGTCAATTTTCGAAGCGGGGCGATCTCCTGAATGGCAGGCCTATTGGTTGCTCAACTCGCGCTTGCGCGGCCGCTGCCCGGTGCTCCAGGCAGCCAGGACCTCACAAGGTGTGAGGATCCCGCATTCATCTCAACCCACGCTGGCGTCGTGCTTCTGCTTCTAGTCTTTAGGACCTGCGACCTCTGAGCGCCATTGCCTTCCCTCACCTCCTCCTTCTCCTCCTGCTTCTCTTCCTTCTTCTCCTCCTCCTCCACTCCCTCTCCTTATAAGTAACTTCTCCCTGCCGCACCCCGAGGCCAGTTTTTGGGGCCGGCCGGGCTTTTCGCCTGACACTTCCTCACCAATTATGGTTCTGAAGCTTAAAACTTGGCAACAGCTTCACAGATGGAGGGCGGGTGGATTAATGTGACTCTCGCCTTAGCGCCGCGCGCACTCGGCCTAATTTCCCTGGCGACGTACCCAACCCTTGCGCAATGCGGGGCAGGAGTAGCTTGGGAGATTTGACGAGAAGGCGGCGACGTGACATGGACGCATATATTTCTGCGAGCGGCATTCGGAAGGTTCGCAGGTCCCCAATCAAGGGGAAAACGATGAGTAACTAAGTGAACCCCTGAGTCACTCAGGAAGACGCAAGGTCCTAAAGGAGACTGTGGGTAAGGGGCTTGAAGCGACGGCGGGGCAGCAACACCATGACATGGCCGCCCAGGGACGGCGAGGTCCCGCTCAGGTCTGCGCAGTGCCTCACTCCGCTGGACCCACCAGCAGCCTTCGACAGTGGCGAGCCCACCAGCAGCCCTCGAAAGTGGCGCAGTTTCGCAGATCACAGCCCCCCAGGGACGGCGAGGTCTACCTCAGGTGTGCGCGGTGCCTCGGAAGTGGCGACAGTTTCACAGATCGCAGCCCCCCAGGGACGGCGAGGTCTCGCTCAGGTCTGCGCGGTGCCTCACCCCGCTGGACCCACCAGGAGCCCTCGAAAGTGGCGACAGTTTCGCAGATCGCAGCCACCCAGGGACGGCGAGGTCTCGCTCAGGTCCGCTTGGTGCCTCACTCCGCTGGACCCACCAGCAGCTTTCGAAAGAGGCGGCAGCTTAGCAGACCGCAGCCCCCCAGGGACGGCGAGGTCTATCTCAGGTCCGCTTGGTGCCTCACTCCGCTGGACCCACCAGCAGCCCTCGAAAGTGGCGACAGTTTCGCAGATCGAAGCCCCCCAGGGACGGCGAGGTCTACCTCATGTCTGCGCGGTGCCTCACTCCGCTGGGCTCGCCAGCAGTTTTCGAAAGTGGCGACAGTTTAGTAGACCGCAGCCTGCCAGGGACGGCGAGGTCTACCTCAGGTCGCGTGGTGCCCCATTCCGCTGGACCCACCAGCAGCCCTCGAAAGTGGCGACAGTTTAGCAGACCGCAGCCCCCCAGTTTGGTGCCTCACTCCGCTGGACCCACCAGCAGCCATCGAAAGTGGCGACAGTTTCGCAGATCGCAGCCACCCAGGGGCGGCGAGGTCTGCTTCAGGTCCGCGCGGTGCCTCACCCCGCTGGAACTACCAGCAGCATTCGAAAGAGGCGACAGTTTCGCAGATCACAGCCCCTCAGAGACGGCGAGGTGTACCTCAGGTCCGCGCGGTGCCTCACTCTGCTGGACCCACAAGCAGCCCTCGAAAGTGGCGGCAGTTTCGCAGATCACAGCCCCTCAAAGACGACGAGGTCTACTTCAGGTCCGCGTGGTGCCTCACTCCGCTGGACCCACCATCAGCCGTTTTGCAGATCGCAGCCCCTCGCAGCCCCCCAGGGGCGGCGAGGTCTGCTTCAGGTCCGCGCGGTGCCTTACCCCGCTGGACCCACCAGCAGCCCCCCAAAGTGGCGACAGTTTCGCAGACCGCAGCCCCCCAGAGACGGCAAGGTCTGCCTCAGGTCCGCGCGGTGTCTCATTCCGCTGGGCCCACCAGCAGCCTTCGAAAGTGGCAACAGTTTCGCAGATCGCAGACCTCCAGGGACGACGAGGCCTACCTCAGGTCCGCGCGGTGCCTCACTCCGCTGGACCCACCAGCAGCTTTCGAAAGAGGCGGCAGCTTAGCAGACCGCAGCCCCCCAGGGACGGCGAGGTCGACCTCAGGCCAGTTTGGTGCCCCACTCCGCTGGACCCACCAGCAGCCCTCGAAAGTGGCGACAGTTTCGCAGATCGCAGCCCCCCAGGGGCGGCGAGGTCTGCTTCAGGTCCGCGCGGTGCCTCACCCCGCTGGAACTACCAGCAGCATTCGAAAGAGGCGACAGTTTCGCAGATCGCAGCCCCTCAGAGACGGCGAAGAGAAGGCAGGCAAATGGCGGGAGGCGGAAGGAGGAGGAGGGAGACGCGACCGCGGTGCTCCATTCAAAACAAATACCCAACCAAGGAGGGTTGGGGCAAAATTGCAAGAGCTTCGCGGATTGAGGGCGAGTGGTTGTCAACATGTGGCTCTCGCCTCAGCGCCGCGCACAGCCGCCTTCAAAAATTGCAAGAGTTGCACGGATTGAGGGCGAGTGATTTTCAACATGAGGCTCTCGCCATAGCGCCGCGCACACTCGCCTTCAAACGTTGCAAGAGTTTCGCGGATTGAGGGCGAGTGGTTTTCAAATTGTGGTTCTCGCCTTAGCGCCGCGCACACTCATTTTGAAAACTTGCAAGAGTTTCACATATTGAGGGCGAGTGGTTTTCAACATGTGATTTTCGCGCCGCGCGCATTCGTTTCACAATGTTGCACGAGCTTCCCGGATTGAGGGCGGTTCCTTGTCAAATGTGGTTTTCGTCTTACCGCCGCGCACATTCGTTCACATAATTTACAAGGCTACTACGAAGTCCCAGGATCAACGTACCAGAAATTGTGTTTTGGAAAGATTCAGGCTTATGACGGTGCACAGGTTATGTTGATTCGCGGTGTTCAAGCCCCAGGAATTGCGTCCTGGCACGATTCTGGATCGTCAACACGCAACAGTCAGATTGATCCGTGGCGTTGGAATCCCGAGAACAGTGTTTTGGCATGCTGCAGGGTCTTCAAACGGTTGTCTTCCAACGAGGCAGTTCCTTCAATTGAACCGTTCTAGGGGCCTATGAAGAGGGAGCTTGGAGGGAGGGTTTATTCCAACATCGTTGATGCCTCTTGGGTTTACACTGGTCCTCCTCCTCCTCGTCCTCCTGCTCGTCGGAGGTCCCCTGGAGGCGCGGGGGAGCACAGCTACCACCAATGAAAACCGCTGCTGCTGCTGCTGCTCCTCCTCCTTCCTGTCTCCCCCCCTTTCGCCCC